GATGTTCATGAAAATTTTAATTTTTTTTTAAGTATTTGAAGATAAATATGGCTGTTAATTGTGGTGTTAGAGGGCATAAACCATAAACCACCATTTTGATTTGCTGTGATGGCACCATATATCATGGTTTTAGAGCAATGTTTTACAGTAAAAAGCAAATAGCGAGGGTTGATAGAAGGCAATACGATGTAAATTTTTTTTGTCAAAACATGGCTATTTAAGTTAAACTGTTTGTACAAAAGTCTTCTAATTGTCACAACACTTAGCGAAACACCATTTGGGAATATCTAAGATAAAACTTCAGAAGCACTGTCAAACGGATGTGCTTTTGCATAACAATGAATGCAGCTATCTGCACTTTGAGTAGTCACCTTGAGTCGCCCAGTTCTAGCTTTGCTTATAAAATCACCAGTTTCTTGATATCGGTTTAATTTTTTTATAATGCAGCTATGTGTTACATTAGCACGTGCAGCAAGTCAGGTTCAATCCTTGTTCACATAGAATAATAATCTGAGCACGTTTTTCTGTTGTTAATTCATTAGTTTTTTCGATTATTTGATTTTTTGCTAAAATAACAAGCTATGAATAAAACAAATTTAGAGGTTTATAACATAACATTTTACATGTATAATGCAAAACATTTTTAATGTAAAAAAATACTTTTAAACAAATATTTCAAATTTTTTGCAAATTTTTAAATTGTTCCAAACTTTTGATCGCGACTGTACATAACGTAATATTTTATCCAATCGACATTGTTTTACAATAGCATTTCTTTTTAAATTTGAGTTCTGGCTTGTAGTTCATATTTCTTTAAAGTTTTAATTTACCGCTTTGCTCATAATTTCCTCCAAAATCAAAACTAGTGAAGTTAAAATTTTGACAAACAAACATCGTATATTAAAATTAAATAAAATATTAAATTTATACCATTAACAAATTTCGATTTTTTTTATAAAAAAAATTATTTTAAAACATATATAAATATTTTAAATTTTCTCAGATTTCGTGTGGTTCCATGGTGTAATGGTTAGCACTCAAGACTCTGAATCTTGCGATTCGAGTTCAAATCTCGGTGGGACCTGATATTTTTTATAAATTTTTTTACTACCTAATTATTTTTATCAAGTTAAAACGTTTGTGCATTTTTTGTCAGGTACATTTTAAATATTATTTTAATTAAGTTAAAACGTTTGTGCATTTTTTTACGCATTTTTGTATTTTAATTTTATTCAAATTTTTTTTCCGACAAAAACACAACAAATAGTTATCTGTTTGAAATATTAGTTCGTATATACAAACCAATATTCCAAACAGATGAAAAATTGGTTCGTATATATGAACCAGTGGGGAATTCAGCATAGAAAGTGTGGTAGAACCCGGTGGAAAATTCAGTGCCGGATCAAGGGGAGGGGGGAGTTAACAAGGGGGCTATAGCCCCGGGCCCCGCAAATTTAGGGGCCCCCAAAAGTTTAAAACTCTCTTTTTTTTTTTTTTAGTCATTTTTAGGCTCTGGCCCATAAAAAGGCCTCCAAAAACAAAAATAGCCCCGGGCCCCAAGAAGTCTTAATCCGCCACTGGGAAAATGAACTAGCGACTAGCGAGCGACTAACTAGCTTTATAACGATTTTGAAGCGATTTTTTTTTCCTATTTTATTTTTTGCTAATATCTTTAACATCTTAAAAAAATCGATTTTTAGTGTAGAATCTATTATAATTATGAGGATAATTGAACTTTAAACATTGCGATTTTGTAGCAATGTGTCGCTAGCTAAATATCGTAGCTTTGTAGCTGGCAACAAAATATATACAAATCTATAGCAGGTTGATAGCTACATATCAAAATTTTTTAGACAACAATTTTATTACGATATGACAATAGTTACAATAGCCAGTGGGTTTTTATCTTATTAAGCTAGTTTTCCTCATAGCCAAGTCGCTGTCTTTATCTGAACAAATATCGATAGCTTTTCGTTTACTTAAAAAAGCTAGCGATCCTCGTGGCCAAGTCGCTGTCTTTATCGTTACGATTATAGCTAGCTATTCGCTAGCCGATCTCCTACTGGGAAGTGGGGGGAGGAGATGTCTGCAACCCCCTTCTCCCCGCGCTCTCTAAGCCGATTAATTGGCGTCCCCTAAAATATAGGTTTTTCATTACTGAATCATGCGTTTATTTAAACAGAAGAAGAAAATTAGGTAACAACAAGCAATCATTTACATGCCTGCTTTACAAATTTGTACGCATTTATGACGGAAAACAAAACGGGGACGTTTTGTGACATTTATGACAGAAAACAAAACGATATAAGTTTTATAGTATTTTCTGTAACACGCACTTACAGAAAACAAAACTTCCCTTCTTAACTTGTCTATACTCTGCAAAATCGACTTGACTTTTCCTTTTACATCTGCTTATATCATAAGCACATATAAATGGAAGAGTCAAGTCGATTTTGCAGTTAATGTAAATTAAATTTTTTAAACTAATGTGAATCCAAAAAAACATGGTTTTGTAATTGTTGATATATATATATATATATATATATATATATATATATATATATATATATATATATATATATATATATATATACTATATATATTATTATTATTATTATTATTATTATTCAGTGATCAAAAAAAAACCACAAATACAATAAATCTGTTTAAAGTTTGATGAAGAGGTGCTACACCAGGCCCCTCTATGCTGACGAAAATAAAAAAACACAGAAGCTACAGACTACAGACGTTATATATATATATATATATATATATATATATATATATATATATATATATATATATATATATATATATATATATATATATATATATATTCTACAAGATTAGTTTGTAGGCATGTCAAGCGCATTGAAATCAACGGGAAACTTCATCACTTGCTTTAGACTCTCGGAGATTCCTGAAGAAGAAGGTGAAGGTAATTTATATAATATCTTCGCAACCTATGTTTCAGCAAAATATTCATTTTTACCGTGTTTTTAACGTTTTTACTTCGTATTGTTTGATTTTTGTTCCAGTTTTGTTTTATTTTCAAGAATCTTTTGCTGCACAATAACAAAGTTTTTTCTCAGGAAATTAAACTAAAACAGTTATTTGGTTTTATTTTGTCAGAGTCGATGTTTTTTTTCTAGGCTATGTCTGGCACTTCTCCCAAAACTCCTTATATTAATTTTTGCATGGATTACAATTTTCTTTACTAGATGGAAACCTCATTTGGGCATCCTTAAAACTAGAAACGTTTACAGTTATTCATTCCTAAGATTACTCTTGCTTTACTTTGTACCAGAAAAAGCTTTTTAGTTGTTGAGGTTTTCCAAGAAGATCTAATGGTCTTATCACAGAGAACCGCGAATGAGCCTTTTTTAGGAAGTTCACACCTTTTTCGTTACCAATGTTGCTTATTGAGCTAGAGCTGGCGTAGAACCTCAAACTTCTTGGTTCTGAGCCAGAAGCCTAACTACTGTACCACGGCTGGCTAAAGTTTCGTATCTTTTTTTCACTTTTTAATTTTATTTCTTTTATTTTTTATCTCTTTAATCAGCTTGCAACTTAAGACTTCAAGTTACAACGGTAATTTTGTTCCAAGGTATAACACACAAGGTATAAGATTTAATAATATGCCTGTTAATAGTGTTTTTGATTAGTTGAACAGACTAATCAAACATATTTTTAGACTACTTTTTAAGGCTACATTTTTTTTTTACTTACTTAAAGTAACTATATTTTAAGTTACTTACTTTAAGTAAGGGGACGGCTAAGGTAGGGGGGGGAGGAGGACCAATGGCATGTGCCCCCCCTTCCCCTAATACACACTTTTTTTCTAAAGGCTTAGGACTAATAACTCTGCATAAATGCAATATTGGTAAGTAGCTTACTTAAAGTAAGTAACTAAGTAAGTCAAAGCCGTCGTTGAACCACAGACCTCCAGTTCTGGAGCCAGAACTTTACCCACTACACTGCAGCTGCAGTTCGGTTTGGCCACTCACAGAAGGCATAGCAGTGCAGTTTGTTTCAAAGTATAATACCCTCCACTAATATTAACATTTATGTTATTAAATTAGTATAAATATCAAAATCTTTAGTTTAATGGTTTTTATTTAAATATTGAAAATGACATTAAATATAAAAGTTAAAAAACAGTAAAGAGTTTACAAACAGAAACTAGGAGAGCTTTATTTATGTAATGTTGTTTTGTTTTTCTTTAATTAATGTAAACATTAATTGCTTAAATTGTGACTTCCTAATCATACAATTTATACTTGACCTTTTTATGTATGTATTGCGCATCAAATTTACTAAAATATTTTGTGTATGAATTCTACTTTTGTAATTTTTATGTGCATATGCAAAGTATTGCAAAGTATAAATAGGCAAAACATTGACGCAAGTTTAAAATGCAACACGAAATTTTATTATTTACATTTAAAACAAACTAATGAAAGCAATCATGCTAAATAAGCAAAATTCAATGAGACCCAATGCTGGACTAACCAATAGGCCAGACTAGGTCTATTGGCCAATATCCTTGAGCCCTCAACAATTTGGGGCCCCCAAATAATTATAAAATTTATAAAATCTTGTTTTTTGATTTAATGTTTAGTTTTGATTTAATTAGATATTCTATCATGCTATTGCAGGTGCGGCAGTATCTACATAAAAATAGCAATTCGGTCTGAAGATACTTTTATTGTAGCAATAAAATAACGAAAGTTTGGATATCCTAGTTTGCCTATCCCTAAACCTGGTTCATAGATGTGAAGGAAAGCTGGGATTTATAGAAATTTGCATTACGCGTATTGTAGCGCCTATTCATCAACTGATTTATTTAGCTGTAGGCGTTGCGGGTGTACATACATGAACTGAGAGCTTGAGTAAACCGTCTTGTAATGAAAAAATTTTTCAATTAGCGAACATGAAGAAGAGGGTTAGAATTGGGATAAGTTACGCTGTAAAACTAAACTTGTAATAATAAAACTTCGGCCAAATTAAAAACGATATGACTTTACATTATAAAAATAAAATTTACAAATAAAAAAAACCGATAAAAATGAAATGACAAAGATAAAAAGAAAAAAAATCACTTAATTAAACAATTATCTATATGCTCGTTAATGTCTTGAGTGGTACGACCTTCAAAGTTTGTTAAACATATTGGACATATTACTTCTTTTTTCAATTTTTTTTTCGTACTCTGAGAACTAAATAAGTTTAAAATACTTGACTGTTTTCTTTTGAGATTGACTGAAGTAACTTTTTCTTCGCGATTTTTTAACGCACTGTCAACCTGAAAATTTCTGTGCGTGCGAGTTTTGACCTTTGATGTTTGTTTATCATTTTTATCTCCGCAATCATTGGAGCACGTTTCGATAAAAGGCACCTTTTTGAAGAACATTTTAATACTAGTTGGGGTTTCCAATGCTTTAGATCTCGCTTTTAAATTCAAAGGAGTTTCACTTTCAACAAAAAATCTAGGAACCTAATTAGACAGTTTTGTAAAAACATTAAATTTAAACACTTAATAATTTTATATTTTAATAATTTAAAAAGTTAAATCACAAACCGTTTTTTCATGCTGGAGCAATTTTTGCTCTTTTATATATCTTTCAACTTCGGGAATAAGAAAATCAGGGTATCTCAAACCAACCAACCGTTCGCCACTATCTAACTTCACCCGAACAACGCGCATGATACGATTCTCTCTGCTAAAAAAAATTTAAAACAAAAATTTTTTTTGGGAAATATAAAACTGATTTTTGAATTAATGTGATAATATAAAAATTAAAAGAATAAATAAAAATTAAAATAATATATAAAAATTAAAAGACTTTTTTTTTTAATTGAATATTAAGAAAAAAACCAAGTAAAAAAATAAGAATTATGAATATATACTAAGTGAAATATTTTTGTATACATCGATTTTAAAAACAAAAAACTAAGGCTTTGTGGTCTAAGTGGCCCGAGAAAATCATTTTATTAACCCAAAAAATTTGACTCGACTACTCTATAGATCTACCATAGTTAAAGTGTATTTGACAAAATAATTGCATAATATACTAAGTAGGGGATTAAATCCATACGCGCTTAAGGACATTTATAAAGTGACACACAAACAGTCTTTACAATTTATAGACCTTTTAATTTAAGGAATAGAGCCTAGAAATAAAAAAAATACGGGACTTATTGCTTTAAACGGTGGTAACATTTGCTAATATCTAATAAAATTTTGAGATTTTATTATTCTCTAAGGTATTTAAGAGGTTAATAATTAATCTTATGAGCTTAATAATTGCTTACAAGCATGTTCTTTGTTTTAATAATTTATCTATCGATTAAATTAATACGGAATAAAAACAGACACTTTTCTTTCAATTTAAAAAGTGTCTGCCCAAACCCAAATCCTCAAGCTCCTTTCTAATTTATATATGGTTGAATAAATCTGCCAACCCTCCCCCCCCACCCAAAAAATAAATAAATAAATAAATAAAAAAGAATAAATATAATTAAACAAAATGTTTAAGTATATTATCTATTGATTGAGCATTTTAACTGTTAATTTTTTTTTGAGTTCCAGATAACTATCACTTATAAAATCCATTAGAATTCGAAACTTTTTGAAAATTATAACTAAGACGATCATTTATAAAAAAATTTGTTCTTTTGAACTTTTTTGAATTTAATAAATAAAAAAGTAAGTGATAAAAAATTATATACTTAATTTCCTATTAAAAACGGACAAAAAAAAATTGAAAGTGAAACTTGCATTGATTATATGCGCCATTTTAAAACTATTTAATTTAAAATGATACAGGAAACAATTAATAAAATAATATAAAATCTTACGATATTCCATGTGACTGTCCAAACTTTACTATAACTGCTTCTAATGCAGGTAAAATAGTCAATATGCATCCGGTGAGAAGATTTATTTCTATTATTCGTGTACCAACTGTTTAACAAATATATAAATAAATATATATATAAATTATATATATATATATTAAATATATATATACATAAAATATATATATACAATATGTATATATAAAATATATATATATATAAATATATATATATATATATATATATATATATATATATATATATATATATATATATATATATATATATTTTACATCTTTGCTTCCAACATGGCTGCAAGCAACCACTATTAGAGTCAGAAATTAATGGAAGAGAAAAAATAAAGTTTGTCGAACAAGATAACGATTACAGACAACTTAAAAGATTACAATTATATGAATCAGGAAAGCAAGATGAAGAAAGCGAATTCCAAAGAGCTAATGTTTGAGGAAAAAAACTAGACAAATAAGAGTTTTTGGAGCATTTAGGAACAGTCACAGAAAAAGGATGAGACTTAATTGAATGACGAGTAACACGAGAATAAATTTTAGTAGACTACACAAGAAACGCTAGCTTTTCAGAGCAGTGCCCATTATAGTATTTGTTGAAAAGAGAAAGAGAAGCAACATTACGGCGATGTGATAATGGTTGGAGGTTGGCTGCAAGAGCAGGTCCAACTATGTTTACAATAAATTTTTGCACTTTGTCTTAAAGAGAAAGAGCACCATTAGAAGATCTTCCCCCGCTATGGCCACAGTATTACAAGAACAGGTTCGAGATTCATAAAGATAAAGAATAGAATTCTGAGTGAGAAAGTGGCGAGCACGATAAAGAGATGCAACCTTAGCAGATGCTAATTTTGCAATTAATTTGATAAATGGTTTCCAAGAAAGAGTTATTCCTAGGAAATAAAGGGTAAACAACTCATTGAGTACAATACTGTTCATAAATATAGGAAGATCTAGATTATTGCAATAACGATTTGTTTCAATAGCTGAAACAAATTGAGTTTTATCTGAGTTCAAGTTCACCAACCACTGAGAAGTGAGATCTTTTTTAAGGTCAAATGCCCTCTCCAAACAATCAGAGAGTGTTGGCTTTTTATCACGACAAGAATAAATGGTAATATTATCAGCAAATAATGCCACCTTGGATGTGATAATATCTGGAAGATCGTAATTCTAAATTAAAAAGAGTATAGGGCCAAGGATTGAACCTTAAGGAGCCCTAGAAGTTACAGGATATGAAGAAGAGTGCTGTCCATCGAGGAAAACTTTTATACTACGATTAGAAATTAAGGATTCAATAATCTTAAAGTTATTACCAAATACATCATAAGAAGAAAGCTTATGAAGAAGACCAGCATACCAAGCTTTATCAAAAGCTTTAGAAATGTCAGGAGTGATGACCTTAACCTCTCCACCTTTATCTAATGCACGATAAAACCTATTGGTTATTACTGTTAGCAAATCAGCTTTAGAACAAGAAGATCGAAATCCATATTGATGATCAGAAAATAAGTTATTAGATTCAAAATGAGAGGTTAAGTGATTGTTAATTAAAGATTCAAAACCCTTGTTTATGATAGGAAGAAGACTAATGGGACTGTAGTTAGACAAGTTAGATCGCTCTCCAGAATTTTTGAAAATAGGGATAAAAGATGCTGCTTTCCAGCATGCCAGAAAACAAGACTCTGATAAGCACTTGTTAAATAGTTTTGAAAGTATAGATGACTGCTCCAGAGAACACTTCTGCAAGGCTACAAGAGGTATGTTGTCTGAACCACAAGATGTAGAAGAGTCTAACCAGGAAATCACTTTTAACACATAAACTGGAATGATACAAATGTAATGCAAATGAACCTATTTGTCAACTAAATCAGGTAGAACGCAACTAGTGGAATCAAGAGATGATATTGATATAAAGTTTTTAGCAAACAATTCAGCTTTATCTTTAGGTGAGGTGACAAAGTCTGAACCATACAAGAGAGTTGGAATTACAGATTTAACCTTATTATTGATACTACTAAAGATTCTCCAGAAGTCACGAGAGCCTAATTTTTGTGATCAAATACGAGATTTCATGACCTGAGAATAGCAGGCTTTGGCATTAGACAAAACCTTTTTACAATGGTTTCTAGCAGTAATAAACAGACGTTTGTTTTCTGGAGAATTGGTTAGCTGATAAATATGGAAGTAATGGTTTCAATTGGAAATAGCAGCAGCACAATGTGAGGAAAACCCTAGAGCAGAGTGAGGCTTGACCTGGAATCGTCGAGAGGTAACAAAAGATTCTATGCCAGCCTGAATCCAGGAAGTTATGTAAGAAGCACATTTGTCAGCAGGAAGACAAAAGATTTCTACCAGAAAGAGCCATCATGAAGAAAATCACGAAAAGAGTCCCAGTCAGCTTTAATGTAATTGTAAGAGGTACAAGAGGGGGATTCTGATGATGAAAAAGAATGATATAATAGTTTTAGAGAGATGAAACTGTGATCAGAAACATCTAAGGGTAAATGTGGAGAAACTGAGCATTGACTAGGATCAGAGACAAGAGATAGGTTGAGTAAAAAAGGTAAATGGTGGTCTGGAAAGCGAGTTGGAAAGTTGACTATTTAAGTTTGGGATTGAGAAAGGCTAAAGTTGACTTTAAAGCCTGCAGCGTCACTGACACTAGAGTCAAGCCAATCAGTGTGAGAAGCATTAAAGTCACCAACAACTACAATAATTGCTGATGGATAAAGAGAGAGGGTTTGGTCGATTCAATCAGAAATAACATCAAAAAGATGTTATTTCTGATTGAATTGACCAAAACTGGATCTTCTTGACTCGTGCATTGAGTCAAGAAGATCCAGTTTTCAACATCCTAAACTGGAAACAATATATTAAAAATACATCTGTGCCAGACAGTAGCCGATGCATTTAACAAACTGTTCTTAGCAGCTATGACAGCATAAATACTAAATTGTATATAAATATATGAAATATTTTTAATATATAACCAATTATACATTCATTTAAATAGGTATATAAGAGTGAAATGATTTTTATCGTTTAATTCTAAAATTTAATTTAAAATATCGTTTTAACAACTGATAATACATTTAATTGTTCATTTAACTTTTTTAAATTCATTTTTATTATCTTACAAACATAAAAGTTTACAATAATTAATTATCTCTATCGGAATCAGAATCACTTGAAATTATTCCATTGTAAGAATCATCGCTGTCTTCGGCGAATTTTGAATTTTTATTGCCACACTCAATGCATTTACATAAATCAGAACCTGACAGTTCTACACTCCAACATAAGCATCGTTTTATTATACAACCAGTCACGCATCTACAATTAATAAACTTAGGCTTGCAATTTCATTTGACATTTTATCTTCGATTTGTCGCCATCCATCGTCCAACCATGTTCCAAAACACTTGGCATATTCAATAGAGGTATAGTGGCATGTTTCCAGATATAAGCTTGATAATTACATCTCAGTATGTGTTGTACTAATGCATCGGAAGTTGGAGGCAATTGCTCTTTACTATATTTGCCACTTTTGAAGAGTTCATATTTCAACTCGTTAACTGAAGAAACAATGTCATTACCATAAAAGTGACACACAAATTTCTCTATTTTAGTAAATAAATCTGATTCTTTCATGTGATTTTCACCGAGCTCTGCTAACATGCATTCATACTCGGGTTTTTTTTTGTAAAACCTTAAGTACTGAAGCTTTTCCTTTACAATAAAATGAACTTGAAGTATCGCATCCTAAAAGGAAAACACATTATACAATTTTACAGTATTTTAAATGTTTGTATTATGTAAGTGAAACTTACAAAAAAAAGAATGGGAAATCATGTCATAAAAGGTAGATAAATTAAGTTAACCAATTAACCTGTAAAAGAATGAAAGCCAACTACAGCGTTTACAAAAGATCTACCCCAATGATCAGCTACTTTTCTTACATTAATTATACGCTTGTTGTTTTGATTTCCGGTTGCAAATAATACATTAACAGTAAAATGTTTGATAGCATGTAAAGCAATGACAAATACATCAGTGTCAGGACTCCAAATTATAACATTTTTGTGAGCTGCATGGTAACAGTGAGCCATAAATCAAGTATCTGCTTCTTCATGGTCACTTTTAAGAGAGATTATTTCAGATACTTCTTCTTTCTCCACTTTCAACAATTGGCGACACCTGTGAATCTTTACCAGGCTCTTCAAGAGTTTTTAACAAATTACTTTTTGTTGTTTTTACTAAAGTTCCATCTGCAGTGGCAAAAGGTGAGGGATGAGGTTGTAGAGGATACTTTAAAACTTCCTTCATGTCAATATCTCTACATTTTGCCAGCAATATTAACTTAACAAACAAATTTGTGGTGTTCTTTATTTCCACCATTTCCCCTTTTTTATTTTTAGTATGTACTTTATTGTGCATGTTGGAAAATGTATTTAACATCGTTTTTTTAATTGGAGAAAATATGCCTGGCTCTTTGCTAAGAATATTTTTGTTTATAAAACTCTCAGCTTTTTGTTTTCCTATTTCCAAAAAATGAGCTTATCTCTTGAAGTATTTTCTGTGCCCACTTGCTAACTGTAGAAGTTCCTTTCTGTCATCATCAAAAGTGTTTATCATTGTATTAACAGTCTCCAGAATTGATGTAACATACTCTTTATCCTTTTTAATTCTTGATTTATCCAAGACTTATATGTTATTGTTTTACCTTTTGAAAAAATAAACAATAAATCTTGTGCAATAGATAGAACTTTCAACTTTAGTTTGAACTCTATATTGACATCTATATTTTGTAACTAACTTCATCTGTATAATCAAGAATTATTGACAGAAAATTCCACTTTCAATGTTTTCAAAACTAAAATCTGACGCTAGTGGTGGCCAAGCATTTTTAACCCCAGTTCCACATTTTCAGAGATTCTTTAATTTTCATACAAACTTGATGAAAGGCAGAATAACTAACATTAAATAAATCGTTCTCTTGTTCACTTTCAGTTTCATTATTATCTGAAAGACCTGATTCTTGTGAATTTTGAGAATCAAGCTCATCAATTTCTTTATTTAAAACAACTGCACCTATATCCTCATAAAAAACAAATTCACTTTGACTGCGATAAAATGGCTGATAAAATACCAAATCACAATTTATTAATCTTTTTTTTAAGCGACAGCTTTTATAATTGCTAGCATCCAAATTTTCTACTCTTTTAACAATTTTAATAAAATATTCAGTAAAATAACTTGGGCAATAAACTTTTTTTAACTTGATGATTTTAGTGTCAATAACTTGTCTACAAAATGATTCAAAGAACAACTTATACATTAAGTTGCTGGTAGATATCTCTGAAGGTGGTATTAAAGATTTATAAAGTTTTGTATATTCATTGTAACATGTTTTATGATACCTCACCTCAACAGCAACACAATCCTTGTCTTTAATGTGTAACAAAATACGTTCATCATTTTAATCTTCAGCTGCTTGACGCAATAAACCAGTCAAAAGTTTGACACAAATTAGGTTTCTGTATTTTTCTTTTTTTGTCGTGAAAATCTGTAAACTAAAGATTTTTTTTTTCACAAATAATACGAAGTGGCTGCAAAACTGAAGAACTTGTTGAAATGCTAACTGATGATAATCGGGAAGATTTTCTTTTATTTTCTATTTTAGAGCTTTTTCTGGCTCTTTCAATTCTAGACACATCTGTGAAATATTTATAACATTTTAGATAGTATACCAAATGAGAGTTTTTATCAAAATTTTCAGGACAACTTACAACTTTATGTGCTATACCCGTAGCTTCTGAATTTTTGTCATTTATCATAAGCCATTCATTTCGTGATAAAATAAATTTTTCATAAGTTAAATTAGTAAAATTTTTTAATTGTTCAACTTCACAATTTGAAAAATGAATAAGACATGAGATACTCGGACATGAAATATATACATAAACATTACATTAAGAAAAATGAATTAGACATGAGATACTCGGCTGCGGCCATGTTTTTATTTTGTTTTGAATATTAGAAAGACAAGTAATTTGCCGCATGCATTTATTTAAAATGAACTTGAGAAAAATTATTCAAAAGTATGTTCTGTTTTTTATTGATTATTTTTAACGAAACGAAACGTCGTGTAAATCGTCATGTAAATTGATTTTTATAGGGGGTTCTAACGCTTTTTTCTCAAAAACTGCAGAAGAAAAACTTGGGAACTTTTTCGATAATGTTATTACATATAAAAAAGTTTCTGAAAAAATTATATGGTTCTGAGAAGGTGGTCACCAACCGATGCGAAGGTGGTCACCAACCTGCACAAAAATATTTCTGGTATGGCTGAAGCCATACCAGAAATATTTTTAATGTTTCTGGTATAGCTTTTATTTAATCTGTGATATTTGCTGTAGGTTTTGAAGCAATCACTAATGTAGTAAAAGAAAAATTAATTTTTTCAATAAACATGTAAACCAACAAGTAAACCAATAAATGCAAAGGTTCCAAAATGCTTTTGATTGGCAGAGCAATAAACTTGTAAACCAATAAGTGCAAAAGTTCCAAAATGCTTTTGATTGGCAGAGTCAGTTGGGTGAGTTAGTTTATCTCCATAATTATGTCTGCATAACGTCAAAAGAATATGTATGCATCTGTTTTAGTTTTTTTACATATATCACTGTGTGTTGAATGTATAGCACTGCGTGTTGAATATGTATATATATATATATATATATATATATATATATATATATATATATATATATTTTTATATATATTATATATATTTATATATATATATATATATATATAAAAATATATATTTATATATTTATATATATACATATATAAATAAAGTTTCTGAAAAAATTATAAGGTTCTGAGAGGGAGGTCACCGACCGATGCAATGCGACTGACCGATGCGATGCGACCGATGCGATGCCTGCACGGATCGCGGTCTAAACCTACAACCTTTCAAAAATTAAAAAACGAGGAAAAAAACTAAATAACTGAAGTAAAATAATAAAAACAATAAATAAAAAACAATAAAAAGTTAGGGGGTAAAAAATTAATTTTCTAAAGATGTTTTTGAAGCTTAACCACTTTATCTTTATTCATTATTCATGCTGATTTAGAATGAATGCATTTAGGTTTTACCAGAATTACAAAATGATTTGAACTTCAAAAGCTGCTACTGTAGTAATTAACTGACTAAAGTAACTAAAATAACTAGAAATGACTAAAGTAACTATTATGTAATCAAAATTCCTAGCATCTAAGCAAGTATCTAAGCGAGCCTAGACAAGCATCTAATCAAGCCTAAGTTTATTTGTGATATTCATATTCATGTTGGTCTAAAACATCTTTGAAGTCAAATAATGAAAGTGAAGCAAACGATAAACAAAGATTGTGAATAAAATTTAAATCAAACACCTTTAAATTCAAAAAGAAAAATACCTTTGTTTTTACGTTGCTTAAAGTTTTCAAGTCTTAATTTCTTTATAGAATTTTTTTTTAAATAAAACACAGACCAAACAAGTTTAGTAGCCTTGACAAAAAGGTAAAAGATAATGTTTGGTACTTTTGTTAATAGATATATCTAAAAAAACACCTTCAAAAGTTTAACTGTATTTATTCCATTTTCAATTTGATTTTAAGACTTCTTTCAATAGCTGTCATAATAAGTTTTATATAAATTACAAAAGTGTTGACCAGCAGGAACTTCTGCTAATATTATGCAATCTATAAGAACATCTATTTTCTGATATAGTTCTTTAGGACTTTTGGCTGAAGCCATAATTATTTATCTGGTATGGCTTTTATTTAATCCTAGATTAAATAAAAGCCATACCAGAAATATTTTTAATGTTTCTAGTATAGCTTTTATTTAATCTGTGATATTTGCTGTAGGTTTTGAAGCAATCACTAATGTAGTAAAAGAAAAATTAATTTTTTCAATAAACATGTAAACCAACAAGTAAACCAATAAATGCAAAGGTTCCAAAATGCTTTTGATTGGCAGAGCAATAAACTTGTAAACCAATAAGTGCAAAAGTTCCAAAATGCTTTTGATTGGCAGAGTCAGTTGGGTGAGTTAGTTTATCTCCATAATTATGTCTGCATCACGTCAAGAGAATATGTATGCATCTGTTTTAGTTTTTTTACATATATCACTGTGTGTTGAATGTATAGCACTGCGTGTTGAATATATATATATATATATTTATATATATATATATATATATATATATATATATATATATATATATATATATATATATATATATATATATATATATATATATATATATATATATATATATACAAAATAGAAAATGTATTATTATGGTATAATAATAATAATAATACAAATACTCTTGTGCGTTTAAGAGTGCTCAACACTATTAAATAATAGAGCAATATTTATTTATTTATATTAAATGAATAAAAACAACTTTTGATGGAACTCTGAGTTTCATGCCTTTCGGCAAACATCAGCCATTGTGAATTTCGTCACTTAAAAACCGTTTAAAAATTACAAATTAAAATTACGGTGGAACGAGTTCTGACATTACCAAACAAAACAAAACAAAACGACGTCAAAGGTTTTAGTCCCCGGTATCAAATAAGGATAGTAAAAATTTTTTTGAATGCCGGCACTTTGATATTATTTCATATCTTTTATTAAGTAAGTTTTCTCCTTTATATGATAATATGTGAAATTTCTCGCGGAGACAAAGATTACAAACTTTTGATGCTTGATTGTAGGGCTTACATTGTGCTATTATCTTCCATGTAATCACAGGATTTATATATTTCAATTTTAGCTCCCATATTTCTTTGGAAAGTTCAGTGTCATTTTTATATTTGGGTGCATTGAAAGATTTAAGATGGTTGGCATATCTTAATTTAAATGTGGTTTCACTTATACCGAAATAAACTTTATCTTTGCATTGAGGATCACCAGAACTTACAGTGGCTTGGTATATGATATTGCTAAAAAGGCATTGGTTATTTAACGGACAAATATTTTTGTCTATGCAGTTACATTTTTTTGATGTTTTATTTTTATCGCTATGTAAAATTTTGTTATTATGTGTATTTATTAAAGACTTGACATTAGGCATGCAACTATAGCTTACTTTAACATAGTTTCGATTAAAAATTTTATGAAGCCTGTGTCCTACTGGAAAGTGTTGGTCAACTAAAGCTAAAAAGCGATTTCCAATTTTAGTTTCAACATTTTTGCTAAACGGGGGGTTGTACCATATAATTTTACATTTGCGATGTCTGTTTTGATTTTTGTTTATTTGTGGTTGGTAGGTGAGTTTTGAATTGTATCCTGATTTACGTAAAGCCTCTTCATACCGAATAATTGAGTTATTGAACACAGTTTCATTTACTGCCATATTCGATAATCTTAACTCAATAGTGCGAGGGATTTCTTTTATTATATTAGGTGGATGGTTTGACTCTGAATGAACATACATAAGTTGGTTATTAGGTTTACAATACGGTTGATAAGAAATGTCAATCAGGTTCAATGTTACATCAAGAAAATTGACAATTTTAATATTACATTGGATGGAGATAAGTAGGTTGTTACTTTTAAAAATATGTGTAAAATGCTTTTTGATTTTTTCCATTTGCTGGCCGCTTTTGTTTTCAAAAATAGCAAGCCCGTCGTCACAATACAAGCCAAAATTATTTTTATCGTAATGTTGAGAGAGCTGAAACAACATAAAAATACCAACTAGTTCACAAACTTCAGCTCCATCAAATGCTCCCATTGTGACATCAAATAATTCGCCTCTTTTCTTTATCCAAGCTTCGTCGTTATTAAAAATTAAAGATTTTCTTGCATGATATATTATTTTTTTATCGTCATTTTTTATAATAACATGTTGTTCGGCGAAACTGATTGCATTGGTAAGAATGTTTTCACTAATAGATGGGTAAAAATCATTTATATCAAAAATTAGAAATTTGCAAAGGTGTTTATTTTTGATTTTTTTAAACCAATCGATAACAAAATGGGTGCTTTGCCATTGATTCAACTGTAGTTTATTTTTTAATTCGTGAATAATTTTAGATAAAATAACTTTACTAATTCTTCCTACCTCGTTTTTCGAAGGGTTTAAAAGGCGAACTGAAGGGTTGTTAATAAAATTATCCTTATGGTCTTTTAATGTAAAAAGCAGCCGGACGATCCGTTTATCTCAATATTGTTATACACTTCATGGTGGATTAAAAGGTTTTTTCCTTCCTTAATTATTTGATCTTTTAATTCTGGCATCGACTTTTTGTAGGTAGAAGTAATTGCGTTTGTTAACAGTTTGTTGTATTCATCTTTAGATAATTTATACAAATTAGATGTTTTGTCTGCCTTTATTAATGTTTTATGCGACGTACGTATGGATTTTAAGTCTTTTTGCATATTATTTTGAAACTTACAGTTTATGTTGCAAAATTTTATTGATTTAACTAAGTTTATAAGGTCTTTTTCGAAAGAACGCATTTCATTTATTAGTGGTGGGCATTTTGATGATTTGATTCCGTAGTCTGTATAATTTGAATCATTTCTTGGGTAGTTATTTATGAAAAAGAACGCCTTCCATCTCATTTTCTTTACGAGCATTTCTGTTTTGTTTAGTAGTTTTAATTTATATTCTTTTTCAGATCGAATCGGTATATTTTTGATTGAATATTTCAAGTTTATTTTTTCCATTTTTGTTGACGACTTGAGAAGAGTGCTCAACTTGTAGGAGCAAATTTATACAAAAAAATTTATACAAATCTTTCAATGCACCCAAATATAAAAATGACACTGAACTTTCCAAAGAAATATGGGAGCTAAAATCGAAATATATAAATCCTGTGATTACATGGAAGATAATAGCACAATGTAAGCCCTACAATCAAGCATCAAAAGTTTGTAATCTTTGTCTCCGCAAGAAGTTTTACATATTATCATATAAAGGAGAAAACTTACTTAATAAAAGATATGAAATAATATCAAAGTGCCGGCATTCAAAAAAATTTTTACTATCCTTATTTGATACCGGGGACTAAAACCTTTGACGTCGTTTTGTTTTGTTTTGTTTGGTAATGTAAGAACTCGTTCCACCGTAATTTTAATTTGTAATTTTTAAACAGTTTTTGAGTGACGAAATACACAACGGCTGATGATTGCCGAAAGGCATGAAACTCAGAGTTCCATCAAAAGTTGTTTTTATATATATATATATATATATATATATATATATATATATATATATATATATATATATATATATATATATATATATATATATATATATATATATATATATATATATATATATATATATATATATCCTTATAGTGTAGTCGAAAGAGACTTTTATGGTAAAAAAAAGTCTCTTTCGACTACAATTTTTTTAACTTGTCTCTTAAGCTGCATTTTATTGTCGCCGAAATGCCAAAGCAATTAAATTAATGCAGAAGTACATTAAATTTTATTGTTTTTTTAAAAAAACTGCAATAATAATGACTAGAAAGTTTTTTTTAATTAGTGGTGTTTTTGTTTTATTAAAAAACATTTTTAAAACATGCATAAGTGTTGCTACTTCGATTATCTTATAGCCTGCTGCTACAAGGGAGTGTTGCTACATTGACTATCTTATAACCTGACTCGCAACAGTGCTGCAACATCGACTGACAAATAGCCTGACTCGCAAGGGAGTGCTGCTACATCGACTGACAAATAGCCTGACTTGCAAGGGAGTGCTGCTACATCGATTGAGGGTTTGGTTTGGGCAGGCAGTCTATCATTTAAAAAAAAAATTTTTTTTGAAGTTTTTTAACATTTTCTGGTCAGGCTTATTAACACGCTCTTTAAAACAACAGTTAATGGGAAAAACTTTGCGACTACCATGCAAGACTATATATATATATATATATATATATATATATATATATATATATATATATATATATATATATATATATATATATTTTTATATATTTTTATATATATATATATATATATATATATATATATATATATACATATATATATATATATATATATATATATATATATATATATATATATATATATATATATATATATATATATCAATAATAAATAAATAATAAATTAATATTTTTGATTTACTTGGACTTTATTTAAATGTTTGCTTTAAATAAAAATAATGATGAATTACTTTGACAAACTCCTCTAAATTTACAATTCTTTCCATGAATACAATTATATTTAGTTGTTTCGTATTGCTCATTCCAGCCCTCTTCTAAAACAAACATAAAATAAACATCAATTTACATAATTAACATAATTACATAATTAAATTAGTTATTTTACAACAGTACTAACTAATAGGTGTGCAGACAAAACAAAATCTCAATTTATTTAATCATTTATCAAATTACAAGAATATTTACATAATAATTACATAAGAAACAATAATTATGAACTTATACTATAATTATCTGATTCTTTGACCATAGAGGCCTCAGGAATGGAACATCTAGTTTTTTACCACTAGCTCTGCAGGCGATAATCTCCTGCATACTGAAAAATCATGTTTTATGATGGTATTTTTAATTTTGTTGACTATTTTTTCTCGGTGTAAAAACTGAAGGAAAAAAATTTAAACTAAAATAGGATTAATAAAAACTGTTTAAATTATAAATAAAATATTAATAAAAAAAGTGAAATTGGGAATTAGGAAATAGTATAATCGAATGTTAAAACATGTTACAAAATGTTTAAATTAAAACATTAAAAAACATTAAAAAAAGTAATTTTTATTATGCTTAGTTGCAAAGAAACTTTCGAATCTAAACTTTAAATATAACAATTTTTTCATTGCATTTATAGTAGAAATGCAATGGATTCCATTGCATTTATAGTAGAAATGCAATGGATTCTTTGCATTTATAGTAGAAATGCAATGGATTCTTTGCATTTATAGTAGAAATGCAATGGATTCCATTGCATTTATAGTAGAAATGCAATGGATTCCATTGCATTTATAGTAGAAATGCAATGCGTTTCCGCGTATATATAATGAAAGAATAATTTTCTATTATTCTCGCTCAATCTTCAATCAAATTTAAATTAGTTGAATGTTTAAAACATGTTTTTAAAGTAATTTAACTTATTAGGGTATCTCTTTTTTTAGAAAAAAATTTCAATATGCATTATTAATGTTTTTTATTGTTACTTTTGTTTGACAAAGTTTAAATAACTAATGAAAACTAATTTTATTAATGGTTCATTATTATTAATGATTCACATGCCAATTCACAAGGTTCAAAATATGACTTAAAAAATAATACATTACGATTATGAAATGAAAGAAAATATAATTTTGAAATTAAAAAAAAAACATGATTCAAAATACGGCTAATGTTGTTAACTTTTTTTTGTTGATAAATTCGCATTTTAAATTGAAAATGAAATGTGCTTCAAAATGCAACATTAAAAAAAATAGTATAGTTGCACTTTGAAACGTTTCATGTCAATTTTGAAAATCACATGCATGTCTAATTTATGTTGGTTTCTTTTTATTATGCGTAGTAAAATTAGATATAATACACCATAGTGTACTACTTTTAAATGTAATAATATTATTTTTAAATGTATTAATTTATATGCATTTTCAAACGCAATGTACTTTAAATGCTTTTTTAAGTTTCTTTTAAATAATCGCAAGGAACACAATCTTCATAATACAAAATATGGTCAATTTGTCTGGTCATCCTTATGGATGTTGCCTACAGGCATTTTTTTTCAAAGTTGCCTTTTGAGAAAACGAGTTGCTCTGCGCCGCTGGGCAACTGAGATTCCAACTCTGCCCCATTCTCAAACTTTGTGATTTACAATCAACCTTTAAAGCGTTCAAATTTAACTCGGTAATCAACAATATTTGCTTGCCACAAGATATCTTAAATTTCAAAAAATGAGAAATAATTTTAAAACTTTCAGTCTAAAACCATAATTAAAGCATAAAAGCCTAAAACATAACAAAAATATGATTAGGTAGAAAACACATTTCAAAGTTAGGACAGAAATTTCTTTGTCATTTTTTCCAACAACAAATAAAGCCAGTTTGTAATTAACTACAAAAAATAACTTTCATTATGTTTGATATTTAGATAATTATAATTGTAGAAATTTATAATCACACTAAAATATTTTTCTTATTGTTTTACCTGCTTCAGCTGGTAGAATTTTTTCATATTTATGAAGTAAATCATTTTTATCTTCTTCAAAAGGAGACACTCCAGTATTAGGCCTTTAAAAACATTAAAAAAATTCATAACATAATAAGTATGAAATAAAAATAATATCAAAATGTTCAATATATAATATTTTTAATAATATTATAAATATATTTCAAGAAATAATATTAATATATAATTTGTACAAAAAATACATTTTAAAAAAAGATTTTAAGCAAAAACTAAAATTAGAGTTGCAAAAAAAATTTTTTTTTTAATTTTTATTTATGTTAAAAGATTTTAAAAATAAAAAAAACTTCTTACATGCTATATATAATTTATCATAATGTATAACAATTAAAATAAAACTATTTTTTAGACAACAGATTCTGTATCCTGAATTTCCTGATTAGTAAGGTTGGTTCAGTAACTCTATACAGTAATAAGCCCAGATAAAGTACTTATCTTTGACTTTTAGCTGTACATTATTCTGCACCTTTTTGATTTTTAACTAAAAAATAACTAAACAAATTACAAAAAAAACTTTTTTTTCTAAATCTGTGGGGCTTTTTTGTCAAAAAAAGCATGTTTTTTTGTTTTATTTTTTTATGGTGCTTTTTTTGTTTTGTTTTAATAATGGATTTAAAAAAAAAAAATTTAATCTTTCGCATAAAAACTTTTTTGTTCAGATTTTACTCACGGGAATAAACCATTTATTTATTAATTTAAACAATTAGTAAAATCAATTACTTTAATCAATGTGATTTAATGTCTACTATAATCAAGTCAATGTGATTTAGTGTCTACTATCAAGTCATCAATATAAAAACACAATTTTTTTATCATCTAATTTTTTATTTTTAGTTTGCAGGGACCGCTAATTTTGTGGAAACCCATGTGCCATGGCACACCTTGCTGGTGTCTAAATCTGGGCCTGTATTCAATATTAAAATTTATTTTGCTTTTGATTGTGGATTAATGATTTTCTACAAAATGATCTTTTGACTGCTGTACATGTAGATGAAAGCAATATTTTATATTCAAATATTTTATATCATATGAGTGTCTAAGTATAATGTGTAGGTCTATGCTGTTTGTCCTAAGTCTATAAAATTTATCTCTGAACTGAAAAAATGACAGACCTTATTTTATATGTTTTTAGTAAAACTGATGCCAACTTCTAATAGTTCAAAGATGCCAAAAAACCATTTTTTTCCTTATTTCAAGGGCTGCCTCTGTTAATAATAGTGTTTCTAGGATTATTTTTTGTATGTAAGAAAAGTTTATATAATTGCAAATTAGAAATAAAAGCAAAAGTTAAACATAAATGTTTCCTTAAACAATATAAAATAGCAAGCACTTTGATAAGTGAAAACGCAGTTTAAGGCAATATTAGCTCAAAAAAAAAAAATACTATAATTTAACAACTTTTTGGCGGTATGAAATTAAGAAATATTGCAAGTTTATGATTAGTTGAAAAAACGTAGTTTGAGACCACATCAAAGTTTTGAGTAAAATGAACAGTAAAAAAACAACAAGAATTATTTATTATGTAATTATTAAATTTATTATTTATTTATTATTTTTTATTAAAGATTAGTAAAAAAAAAAACTATTTTCTAAGCAACAACATTTTTTAGTACGCGAGACAAAAAAAAACTTTAATGTTATGCAAAAGATATATACATAGCATATAACATCCATATATATACATACCATACACACATACATACATACACTCATACATACATACATACATACATACATACATACATACATACATACATACATACATACATACATACATACATACATACATACATACATACATACATACATACATACATACATACATACATACATACATACATACATGCATACATACATACATACATACATACATACATACATACATACATACATACATACATACATACATACATACATACATACATACATACATACATACATACATACATACATACATACATACATACATACATACATACATACATACATACATACATACATACATATATACATACATACATATATACATACATGAAAATACACTATGATGTCAAATATTTTTTGAATTTTTTTATAAAACAAATTCATAAAAATAAATATGTTAAATTTAACAGCATAAAAAATGAAGTTTATTAACTAAAAATAAAAAAAAACATTTTGCATTTTCATCAATATTTTTGAAAACTTTTTTTTTCAATAAGTTTTTTATGTTTGGGGCTTGGTGATAAGACTGAGTTAGTCTTCTTCTAGTACTAGTCATGTAAATATTTGTTTTTATAAATTAAAATTGTAAATTATTTTCTTATTGGCAAATAAATACACAACCAGTTGTAATATAATTATCATTTTTGAAGTTTTTATATGATTTTGCTTCATCTACGACCCATAATGATACACATTTGAAGAATTTTTTGTAAATACATACATAATACACACTCTAATACATACATAAATACATACATTCACACATGCATACATATTCTGACCAACAATTTACTTATTACCAGATAAGGTTTATATAATAAAAATAAAGTTTTTATAATAACAATAAAAAAGCTCGTAAAATGATATAAAAGGTATATGTTTATGATTGTATAAGTGTAATGCAAAGGTCTATGCTGTTTGTCTAAAATCTAAAAAAGTTACCTAAACCTCTATCTAATGTACGATAAAACCTATCGGATACCTCCATCTAATGCACGATAAAACCTATCAGTTATTAATGTTAGCGTATCGGCTGTAGAACGAGAAGATCAAAATCCGTATTGATGATAAGAAAGTAAGTTATTAGATTCAAGATTAGAGATTAAGTGTTTGTTAGTTAAATATTCAAAAACCATATAATAGGAAGGTTTGTCTAAAATCTAAAAAACTTATCTCTGAGCCACACTTCTACATGGATTCATCTCTTTTTTTATATCTTTATATTTGACTCAAAAATTTATATCTTTATATCTGACTCTAAAAACTCAGACATATTCCACAGACAAACATTTTTTTCCATAGTAATTGTAATTATGTTTGAAAAAAGGTAGTGCATGATGACGGCCCATCATTTTCAAACTTAGAGTGCCAAAATGTAAATGATCCTGCTTGATGACTGTTAGTGGGTGTTTCATCATGCTGACTTGATGACTGTTAGTAGGTGGTCATTATGATGGATGATCTGGTGGGTGGTATATATATATATATATATATATATATATATATATATATATATATATATATATATATATATATATATATATATATATATATATATATATATATATATATATATATATATATATATATATATATATATATATATATATATATATCTGAAAAAAACATACACTAACACACACATACACATAAAGATTCTTAAATATTTTGATCTTAACAATCAATAAATTAATTAATTACCTTGTTACCATAAATAAATGTGGAGATAAATCTTTTTGTACTGCTAGTAAATACAATTTTTTGCCATATTGTTCTCTCTTTGATCGATAAAAATCACAACTCACATCAGAGTTTTTTATAAATTTTTCTTTGGCTGTTTCAAAAGATACCCCACGATCAACCGTAACAAATACATGTCTAAAAAAGAAATATTAAAAAAAACGATTAATAGAAAAAAGCCAATAAAGAGAGCAAAAGCATTAGGAAAACAAGACATTGTTAACGTTAGGACATTTTGTTGAGAACAAAGGAAAAGAATGAAACTTTTCAAAAGTGTTGTATTTCTATGAAGAAGAGTATCCTGAAGAATCAAAGTTTGCAAGTTTATGCCCACAACATGGGCATGCCTACCACATGTGCATGTCCATCACCATGTGCTCTTTTCTAGTTTAATACAGAGAAACGATATTTGTCTTCAACAACACCAAAACATATCCTCAAAGCCTAATCCTCAAAGAGCGTTTAAATTTTCCATTGTATTCACATGAATTTCCTCTTAGAATTGTATTAGTTGCGATAATTGTAATTGCGACTGAACGCAAATAAAACTTATTAAAGCATCATAAATACAAAACACTGCAAAAATGCTGCAAAGTTTCATGAAATATTAAATGATATCGGTTTTTTTTTACCTTTTTTTATTATTTAAAAAGAAAGGTTTGTTGAATTTAATTTAATACAAGTTTAAAACATGTTTAATTTAATTCGAGTTTAAAACATGTTTAATATTTACAAGATTTTGTTTTTGAACTTCTAAACCAAGTATTACCTGGTACCAATCGGAGAAAGTTGTAAAAGGAGATGGAAAAGAATTTATTAAAAAAGTTAAAAAAAAAGATGAAGATTTGATGATCACAGCATTTTTTAAAACCTTCACTTTTATTTCTTTGGCATTATTTTAATAAACAGAAAAGTCAAAGCCATACAATGATCGTAAGACCTAATTTCATAGTGACCCAGACACTTCATAGACACCGCCATTCTTCAAGTGAATTTTGCTGAAAAATTTTCAACTTTGTGGGAAGATAAAGTGCAGATTGCACAAGAAACAAGTTTATTTTAAGTTCATTTTAAGTTAAGTTTTACTGCTGCATTTTGGAATCAAGATTTACGTCCTTCAAAAGAATATATTGTTAATAATTTAATATCTAACCATGTTGAACCAAGTGTAAAAATGCTATATATTTCAGAAGATAGACCAATTAATTAAAAATGAGACTAGATTTAATGACTATTTTGTTTCTATGAAAAATATTGCATACAATAAAAAAATTTGAAATTATCCAAAATAGCACCAGCAAAACCCAGGCATATTTGCAGCACATCCACTGCAAAGCATGATGGAACAAAAGAAATGAAACCATATTCAAGTTCAAAGCATCTAATAAATCAAGTAGACGTATAAAAGCAACAAAAATTGTTGTATATATGAATTTAAATACTTTTAAACAATTTTTAATACTTTTAAAATTTTAAACTAATTTAAATAAAAAAAAATTTATACTGTATGACTGAAGCACCCATTTGAATTTCACTAAATACAGTTTTAGCATCACCATGTTTTGTAATCGAACTACCACAAATATCTGTGACACCATCATTATATCTATGATTATAAAAATCAACTGAATTCAAAAAATATATATATATATTTTTTTTTAACCACTTAAATATATCCTTTAATTTGTCCTTCTCATTTTAAACTGAAAAGGATATTGTGTCCTTCGATGCAGCTAAAGTTATTTTTTATTTCCAGCAGCTAAAGTTGTTTCTATGCATGGGCAAAAATAAAAAACATTAAGAAATTAAAATACAAATATTAAATGAAAATAACTATTTATATAACTAAATCAGCTTTTTAACCTTCCTTCCCGCTTTGCAGCAGCTGTTGTTGTCTCCATGCATTGGCAAAAGTAAGAAAACATCTATTAAGAAATCAAAATACAGATGTTTGGTAAAAATGATTATGACATCTTATAAAAAACTAAACAAAAGAAACATAATTTTATTTAGAAACTGTCTAAAAATAATTTTTCAAAATAAAATGTTAGACTTTTTTTTTATTACATCAACCAAAAAATCAACAACTTTAACACCCTACCACAAGTAACAACTTAGTTTGACTTGTAAAATAAAGAGAAAAAAATTTAGTTCAATAACAAGTAAACATGATATTACTACAATAACAACACCAAATTAAAAATAACAATTATAAAATATAAATATAAAAATAACAATAATAAAATAATAAAAAATAATAATAAATAAAATATAAATATAAAAATAACAATAATAAAATAATTAAAAAAAATATATAAAAAAATAACAACACCAAATATCACAAATCAACATTAATTTTATCACTTACCCAACACTTCTCATTATTTATATCAACATTATCTAATCTTATCATATAAGCACACCCTATCAAAGTTAGAAAAAAGCAGCACACAGTAGTTGCCTAGAGACAGTAGGATAGATAACTTAACTTACAGAAGTAATCAGAATCTAACCAAATACATCTGATTTTCAGTAAACTTTACTTGTTTAATTTTTCTTGTTTGTTTCAGATTTTGAAAGAGACTAAAACAGACCTCACCGTTATTATGAATAATCCTTATTTTTTTGGCACTGTGACCTTTTTTTATTATTTAAAAAGAAAAGTTTGTTGAATTTAATTTAATACAAGTTTAAAACATGTTTAATACTTACAAGATTTTGCTTTTGAACTTCTAAACCAAGTATTCGATTAAGAAACTTTCCCATATCTTTTGCATATTTCTCTGATACACTACCACCAACTACATTTTGGTCAATGACATCCATATCATATAAACATGACTAAAAAGTGAAAAACATTTTAAAATAATATCAAATACATTATCAAAACAAAAAACAAAAAATACATTATCAAACCAAATAAACTATCAAACCAAAAAAAACTATTAAACCAAATAAGTAATAAAAGCAAACAAACTATCAAACCAAATAAAATACCATATCAAATAAATTATTAAACCGAGAAAAATGTCAAACCATATAAACTATCAAACAAAATAAATTATTAAACTAAATAAACTATCAAACCAATTAAATTATCAAACCAAATAAACAATGGATAACTGGATAAAAAATCTAAATTTTTAAAAAATATTTTATGCATGTTTTTTTCAATCAATGGAAATAAATTCTATGTGTATTAATATAAACCTAATTATTTACATAAACATTAATTAATTACTTTGTGCTTTTTTTTTATTAATTTTTTTATTAATGAATCTTTCCTAAAATTTTTTTGATGTTCTGGTGAATGTTGGACTTCATTATTCTACTTTTTATTAAAAAAAATACAGTTAATACTTATAATTTCTATAATCAATTTTTGTTGTCTTTAGTATTATTACTGTACAGTTTATTATTATTACTGTACAGTTTATTATTACTTTTATTAATAAAACAGGTTTGATATTTCTAATTTCTATAATAATTTTTGTTGCTTATTGTTATTTTATAAATATTAACTACTGTTAACTATTATTACTAATATTAATATTGTTATTATTATTACAGTAATCATTATTGTTATTATTAGTGTATTGTTGTTATAATAATTATTTTTTTTACTGTCATTATTGTTGTTGTTATATTATTATCAGGGGCATGTCTAGGGGATGTCCGCTACATTGTTGAATTATATTGTTGAAAAAAATCTTACTATACATAACGATTAAAACCATACTACAGCTAAAACTAAACAAGTTATGCACGGTTAATTATCTTAAACGGTTGGAAAAAATTTAAAAACTGGAAAACGATTCAAATTCCAAAATATTAAAAACCGGAAAATAGTATATCGGATTCAAAATTTTGCGATTGTTAAAAAATAATAATTACAATATTTTGATGGAGGTTAAACTAACTTTTGAGTTAAATAACTTAATTTGAAACTTGAATTGACATTCCTTATTTTATTTTGTTATATAAAACTATATTTTTTAAATTTTTTCTTTCATTGGTTTAAAAAAAATCAAGTTTTATTGTTTAACTATCACCAGGAGGTAAAATTAGTAACAACTAGTATATATCAAAATATATCAATAGACAGTTTTATTACACTAGACTGTGTATTATTTTAATAACTTGCATTTTAAGTAGTAAATAAGGAGAAAAAAGGTTTCAAATGTGGAAAATAATAAATAATTTTCGGACTTCCCTATTGATGTACACCCTGAGTAAAATTTTTATCAAGTTTTATTGTTTAATTATCATCAGGAGGTAAAATTAGTTAGTAACAACTAGTATATATCAAAATATATGGACATCCCCAGATTTATTAAATTAGACTGTGTATCATTTTAATAACTTGCATTTTAAGTAATAAATAAGGAGAGAAAAGGTTTCAAATGTGGAAAATAAATTTCGGACTTCCCATTTGCCTTACACCCTGCCTAATTTGTGTTTTATTAAATTAATTAATTTTATTAAAAATATAACATGGCCGATGATTAGTTCAAAATGTCGCTTAATGCACAAGTTCTTATAGCATTTTAAAGAAAAAGTTAGTATGTTAAAGAAAAGCATCATTTCCTTTAAAGTTAGGCGACCCAATATTACTTTAATGGTGTAGAACTTTTGATACCACGATATCCTTTGAATACAAGAAAGGAAGACAGAGAGTTATTACAAGTAGAAGCTGTTTATAATTGCATTGATAAAAACTAGTATTTGTCCCTTGGTTTTCTTTGATAATCAAGAAGAAGATTTTAGACTTATTAAGTATAATTTTAATTAGCCATATTGTTTTTCCTTTATGAGAATCATGATAATCGTAATAGGAACTATGATGAACAACATTAAAGAAAAAACTTGTTTACTTAGTATTTTCATAAAAGCTATTATTGATTTTTCTTTGGGTGTTATGAAATGTGAAATTGTGTCTTGGATACTTTACGAAAGTTTTTTATACCTGTGGTTTTCTGTCTAAAAAAATGTCATTAATGGTGCAGCCTCTGCTACTGCTTCTTCTTCTGAAGTTAAAACAAATTTTGATTTTATTGTTGCACTGTGTATAACAAGACATGTTTTTAATATAACTTTTTTAATTACACAATTTTGCAAGCAAGTAATAATGATAATTTTTATAGTTTAAATCTTATTCAAGCATTAAAAGATTTTGTCTCTATAGTTATAAATATTATTAATCAACACCCCCAAATAACCTTTAAACAAGCCTAAAAATTGCATTTCAAATTATTTTAACTTGGTTATCGCTGTTTCTTGCTAGACTATCTGAGTTTTATATAGATTACTGAGTTTAACACAATGTTTGATTGATACAATTTTGAAGTGTTATAAGCACCTGTGTTTTAATTTCTTTCTAATATTCAGTTTCTTCTAAAAACAATTGCAGAAATTCAATGTTTTGTTATACTAGTTAAGAAGACCAAATCATATTTTTTAGTGTCTTGTTTAACCAAAGGCTTTATTAGGTTTATTTATTATTTCCAAACCAAAGGCTTTATTACTCAAATTTGATCTGTGGTAAGTTTAGTTGAATTTTTACTTAACTGCCTGAGTTTCAAAAATGAACTTTAATCTAATAATACTGAAACATTACAAGCAACAAACCTTTTCAAGTTTGTTATAAATACTTATGAGTTGTGTTTTAAATAAAATTCAAATACAATAAAAGTATAACTTCAAATGTTTTAGCTGCTTTTTGTTAAACAGCTATTTTCATAGCCAGACATCTTTGTAAAAACATTTAGCATTGTACAGTTATTGCAATTAGTTTTTTGACTCTAAGTATTTATAAAGTTTATTTATAATTGATTATAATTATAATAATTATTTATAAAGTTATATAAAAAAAAATTACACAGCAAAATCTTTTATCTTGTAAATTGTTTTCACAAATCTTGTAAAAAATTTATACTTAAAAATTGTTTTCACAGATCTTGTAAAAAATTTATACTTGAAAATTGTTTTCACAAATCTTGTAAAAAATTTTAACGTGTATTTATTATACATTACGACAACTGAGTATTTTCAAAAAATAATTTTTTTAGTTTGCAAAAATCATATTTTGAGCTTTAGTTACCATTTTATCAATGTTACAAGTCATTTAAAGAATTCAAACATTTTAATAAAATATACTCGGTCAATATCCGGTCCCCCTCCCCCTCTCTAAAAAAATAGGGAGGCAGAAGGGGGCATAATTTTTTTTTTGGACTTACCCAAAAAATTTCCTGTAAACGCCCCTGATTAGTATAACAACTTTTTATAATTTATAAATATCTATATTATATTTAATATTGTTATTATCACTATTTTTATTATTATTGAATTTGAAAGGTGTTTACTGAATACTAGTACTCATTACTATTTGTAAATATCATTGATGTAAGAGCTTTTATTCAGAAATATATTTGATTTGATTTGATATGGCTTACAACTTTTAGTATTATTTGATTTGATTGAAGGAGTTTAATTTTCCTACTTAATTCTTTTATTATCCTTTCTTTAATTTTCCTACTTGCTTTGATAATTCAACATCATTTTTGTATTTATTTGTGTTGAATTACTTTAAATGGCTTATATACCTTAAAAGAGGTTTTGCATATGCGAATAAAGACTAAAAAATTTTGGATTTTTGAAAATTTTATGTATGACTGAGTGCAATGATCTCTTTAAACAAAGAGACAGTCTTTAAATAATTTCTTTGTGCGTTTTTTATAGTACGCAATATTTATGAATATAATTTTTTTTTTTTAAATTACAAATACAAAATTTGCTTAGATATTTAACAAATATTTGTAAAATAAAAAAAATAAAAATTAATTTTTGTAATTAAATATATTTTTTTATTTAAATACCTAAGAGACTAGATACTTGAATATGCCAATTAAATTTAGTTGCTGCCCTCATGCGGTGAAAGAATCTCGCTCTGCCTCTTAAATGTCTTTGTTACTTTTTAAAATTAAAGTTGCATATTGCTACAAAAATTCTTTTAATAAACATTATATTTGACAGAAACCAGCAAGCCAACCAAGATTTTATATGAAAGTTATTAAGATTTTGAAAACTTTCATTTAGCTTTCTTTTAAAAAAATTTTCAATTTAAATAAGTTTTTTAACTTTTAAATTTATGTAATGATAAAAACTATAATATAAAATATGATGAACAATAATACGAATACCTATGTAAAAAAATTTTATTTCAGTATTTTGAAATTTTTAATTTTAATATACTAAAGTATTTAAAAACCTAAATATTAAAAAACTTTCCATATAATTAGGGTTATCAGATATTCTTTGTTTCGTAAATATTAAATTTCTGACTGATACTCTTGTCCAATGGTCAATAATTTTTTTTTTATATTTTTAAGGTGATACTGGCCCTTTATACAGGACATTTTATGTAACTCAGTCTAAAAGTCAGTCATCAGACTTTTTTATTTTCATGATGAATGGATTTAGTTACTTGATAAATGTATTTAGTTACTTGTTGATTTTGGTTTTACCTTTTTCTAATTATGTTTTGTAAGCAAAAAACTAAGTTATTTTTACAAAAAAATAAAACATTAATTTTATTAGTAAAAAAACGTTAGGAAAAATTATCTTGTTCTAAAAAATAAAAAAAAAACATACTTTCATAGTTGAGTGAAATGTTTCAAGTGAACAATCTATGTTCACACTTGCAAGTACATTTTTTAGAGAAACTCCTGAACACAATTCATTCTAAAAAAGCAAAAACATATCAAGTATATGGCAACCAAATTTAAAAAGCTAGCATACTGTGAAAAAGATTACCTTGGCTATTGCATCATACATTGCTTTAAGTGCCTGCCTACCATATACAGTATCAAAGTTAAACTGCGACAAATCTGCACCTGTCGCTGCTCTTCTATCACCCTTTGTTATAGCACCTGGCAATCAAAATTATTTATAAAATGTTGCTTAAAATTAAAAAAAGAGTTCCTGAAGACCAAAATAAAACTTACCTCTTATATATATAGATTTTTCATTATGAAAATAATAACATATAAAGAACAGAGAACAAATAATAAAGTTTTTAAAAATTTAAAAATAAAAAACATATAATAAGAAAAAAAAAGAATTATTTTATTACTAATATTATTATCATTATCATTTTAGTGGTATTCATTCATTTATTTAACTGTATTAATAAAACAATTTACGAAACTAGGTCGGGTGGTATATACATGGTCAGGAAACTTGTTAGTTATAAATATCAAATGAGAATTCTTTGCAAAAAATTGCATTGAATGGAGGGATAAAAGTTCCAAGTCTAACTGATGCAGCTTGTTGCAAAGCATTCTCATTTGGTTTAAGCATAAACGTATTCAAGTTAGAACTTTGTTTGATGTCTAAAAAAATATTTCTTGTTCCAATAGCAGATGATCATCAAGATCATTTTTTAAAAATCTAAAAACACTCATCAAATAGTGATGGAATGCACATATATAATATGCCAAATATAAACTTTAATTATTCCAATTTTCTCAACTTTATCTAACAGAATCAAAAAAATAAATAAAAACAATAATATAATATTAACTACTGACCTAATGACTGCAACCTTCTAGCAACTGCAGCAGCAAACCTTCGTTCTCCCCCGAGATTTGATGTTAACAATTTATATATAGGACCACTAAAAGGTTACACTTAACATTTCAAAAATGCAAAAATATTTATAATATTTTATTACTTATTATTGTATGCTAAATATAAAAATAAATAAAAATAAAAAGTAAACAAATAAAAACAACACAAAAAACAAAGTAGAAAAGTAAAAAAACATTAATAATAAACAATAAAAACAAGTATAAAACTTTCAAAGATCAAAATTCAAAGTATTATAAAAAGGCAGGCTTCTCAGCTTCTCTAAACACACAAAAAAAGTCTGAAAGGGTAGGTATTCAAGGAGTATGGGTAGGTGTTCAAGGAGTATGGGTAGGAGTGTTCAAAAACTTGAAATTGTAATCTGACTTATGATAATTCCACAATAAAAAATATTCAGCTTTGTTTGGGAAAAAAAGAATCTAGTTATATAAAAATTTCATTAAAAATGCTACTTTACCTTCAAAAATCATGTTATGGAAAACCATCTAAGACACAATTGTGAAATTGTGGACATTTAATAGCAAAAAAAAAAAAAAATTAACTAATAGTTTAAATTACATTATCTGGTTTGATCTGTGTGATCTTCCGAGCTGTTGAACAGCTTTGTCTGCACTCCATGGAAGTTCTGCAGTAATATGTATGCGACGACGTTGATTTTTGGATATTCTATCAGCATGCAGTGAAATACCTAAAATAAAAAAAACTTTTTAAAAAAATTATTAATATTATACAACATATTAATTACACATATAAATCACACAAAGTTATTTTTTAAAAAGTTAAACATTTTCACCTACACAAGTTCAAGGAGGTCACTACAGTTAAAAAGAATACTTAATTTTTTCATAAATAAAAATAATTTTGTCACAATCTTTTGTCAATTTCTCTCTCCCCCTCAGATTACAAAATCTTGAAAACCATGACAAACCTTGACTTATTAGAAACATTAGCGATGCTTAGACAAACAAACAAAAAAAGCAATTATTTAAAATAAATTATAATGAATAAAAAAATTATAACTAATAAATATTTTAATTTTTCTAGCAAAAACAGCTTTTGTATGCTATAACATAAGTTTGCTTTCTAGGTTTACAGTTGAATGATTTTGATTGTTGTTCGATTTATACAAAAATCTAAATCTGCAGTACCTATAAGTTATCTATAATCTGTGCTTATCTACATTACCTATGTACCTATAAGTTATCTATAATCTGTGCTTATCTACATTACCTATGTACCTATAAGTTATCTATAATCTGTGCTTATCTACATTACTTATGTACCTATAAGTTATCTATAATCTGTGCTTATCTACATTACCTATGTACCTATAAGTTATCTATAATCTGTGCTTATCTACATTACCTATGTACCTATAAGTTATCTATAATCTGTGCTTATCTACATTACTTATGTACCTATAAGTTATCTATAATCTGTGCTTATCTACATTACCTATGTACCTATAAGTTATCTATAGTCTGTGCTTATCTACATTACCTATGTACCTATAAGTTATCTATATGTTATCACAATAATTAGTTGACTCCAAGTTATGTTATCACAATGATTAATTGACTCCAAGTTATCTATATATTATCATGATGATCAGTTGACTCAAAGTTATTTATGTTATCATGATGACTAAGCAGACTCTATGACTAAGAAGACTGTTATCACAATGATTAAGTTCAATCTCACACTAAAAACTAAGCTTAAGAAAACTGTGCTTTCAAAAATGTTCAGATACGGAGCTAGCTTGAAGAATCCGAACACTTGCAATAATTTGGAAAAACTTTGTACAAAAATTTGGTCAGTATGAAGTAGATTTACTTGCAATTTGTATCAGATAGAATTCTTCTTACGATTATAAATAAAAAGGGGAGAAAAGAATTGGTTCCATACCTGCCTGGATCCAGGAGTTTACATAGTTTACAAAATTCTAAAATCAAATTGCACACATATGAGATTAATATGATAACTCAGAAAAACAGTGATATTTGGAAAAAAAAAATTTTTGGTAACGACCTTAGTCCACAACCAAATTTCCTTATTGAAATTGCTTTGGGAATTCTGCTACCAAATAAAAAGTTCACATGTAGCGGAGTTGCAGAGTAGCAAACCAAGCCACACTACCGCCCAACTCTGGCTATGATATGACATTTCATCAGGCTATGGAACACAGGTGCACACAGACATAACTGATATTATCTCGAGTGCAGCAAAAAACTTAATAAAATTTACAATTGAATTTTGCTCAAGATATTTTTAATAGTTTAGTATCAATAATCAAGTCAATATTCATAACATTTTTTCTAACGCTTCAAAAAATTTTTTGGGATATTTTAAAATTCCCTTGGTCATTTTTCAGATTAAAATATATCTGTAAGTTAAACATAAAATATGTTTTAAATTAATTCAAAAATATATATGTTTTATTTATATATATTATTCTACATAATATATATGCTTTATATATATGTTTTATTTATATATATTATTCTACACAATATATATATATATGTTTTTTAAATAACAATGGCAGCTTAAAAAAAACTTTTATAGTAAATTAATATACATTTAAAAAAAAAAAAATTTTAAGTACAATATTCCTTAACTTTTTATATACATGGCAACAAAGATATATCAGTACCTTATAACTATCAGTTGTATAAAAATTCAACATGTCAATTCAAAAATTTCATGTTATTTTTATTATAAATACTATAAAAATATTTTTATTTTTAATTATTTTTTAATTTTTAATCAACTTAACTACACATTAAAAAATAATAAGTAGATTAGAGAAACACACCAGTACTGGCAGCATCTGATATAATGGCAACATTTTTTTCTCCATTCATAAATGCATTTCTCTAAACAAAATTTTTAAATAATTTAATAAACAGTTCTTAAATTATTTTATATTGTTTTTTTTTATTGGACCTTTTATTACTTTTTTTATTATTATAAAACTTTAACTTATACAGAAGTTCCCTGCCATGGTATGTGATTGATAATCCAGTTAATATACATATATATATATATATATATATATATATATATATATATATATATATATATATATATATATATATATATATATATATACATATATATATATATATATATATATATATATATATATATATATGTATATATATATATATATATATATATATATATATATATATATCAATCCTCAAAATTAGGGTCAGCATTTGGCAATGCTGACCTAACTGTCAACCTTAAATTGTTTGAGGTCGGCAAAAAATTGCCAACCTTGTTTCTTTATTTTATGACAACCTCTTTATGTCAAATTTTTTCTGGCGACCTAATGGCAACCTCTAACAGTTGGAGGTCAGCAATAAATTGCCAAACTCATTTTTTCTAGTTCCGAGGGTTTATATATGTGTGTGTATATATATATATATATATATATATATATATATATATATATATATATATATATATATATATATATATATATATATATATATATATATATATATATATATATATATATATATATATATATGAAAATATTGGTTTTTATTAAATTTAGAGGATATGATATATTTTTTTAAATATTATCACAAATGAAAGCAATCAACATAATTGTCTACAGTTAATTATGCATACAACATAAGTTAATAGCCTTATGACAGGGCCAACAACAGGGGTTTTAAAAGCAAGTTTATGGGCAATAGTTGAACAACGGGTCTACAATTTTTCCACTTCACCTAAGAATATAGATGAGCTCATGTACAAGATGGGCTCATGTACAAGAGGTTTGAAGGATTCAGTTGATAATAATTTACTACATTATGTTATTTGTTTAAAAGTAAGGTCGAAAATTTTTTGTTAACCTTAAACTGTTAGAGGTTGGCAAAAAAATGTTGACACAAAGGTTTTTACACTTTGGAAAAACATTTTGGACTACAAGAATTAATTTGGGACTGCAAACTTCGACCTCTTTATAAAGTATATAAAGTTTTAAATATATAATACTTTTGTGGTTTGTGGTTATTGTTTTTATTAGTTTTACACTGTTAATCATCTTATTAATACAACTTTTTTTTTTAATTTTTATGTCTTTAAAACCACTAAAGGAAGTTGTAGACGAAAAAGAGGAGAAAATCTATATATAAAAGAGTTATTAAACCTTGCTAGATTTAACTAGATTAAACCTTGATAAAACCTTGCTAGATTTTAGGATCAAAATTTTGATCATGCTAATCAAAACTGTTTTACCGGGGGGCTTAATAGATATGTTTTGGTAAATTAAACATCACAATATAGAACTAGATTGCTTAACAACAAAAAACAGATACTCAAAATAAAAAAATAACCACCTCCTGAACAGAAACAGATTCTGTTGATTTTGCAGTACTTGATCGACGATGATAACTTGGCTTGTCACTTTTATTATATCTTCCAATAAAACCACTACGACCAGTCATCTCTGCAACACAATGTGGACCACCAAGCTCATCAATAATAGTATCAAGAGGACTTTGAAGAAATTAAAAATAAGTATAAAATAATTGAAAAACAAACCAAGGACTAAAATAAAAACAAGAAAACATGATGAAAAATAAATGACTAGCAACCTGTTTAAAAGAACAATTTTTTCTACACGATTCAAAAGATAACTTTTAACCTTTGCACACCATTCGCCAGCTTCACTTAGCTCTCCCTGCATTATTATGAACACCATTATTAAGTAATTGAATAAAGATTGAATATTAGAGTAAATATTTTATTTTTAAATAAAAATAACACTATGCTCTCATTTTTTAGATAGTATTAATATCTTAAATTATATTTATTATTATATTATATATAATTATATATATATATAATAATAAATATAATAATAATAATAATAAATATATCTTAAATTATTCATTAAACCATTATTACTAATAAGTACTAATATGTTAAATTATTTATTTTATTTATTATTAAATATTAAATTTTAATTAACATCTTTTGGTTAACGGTACTTAAAGTTGTACTTACTTTAACTGGTTGTTCTACAGGAAAATGCTGTGAAATAAACCGCTTGAGTATTTCTTTTGTTATCGAAACAAATCCATCAATGTTACCATGGTTATCAAAGAGCTCAGCATCAAGACTTGTCTGAAAAAGAATTTTTAAAGCATTAAAAAATATATATATAAACAGTTAAGAAAATTTATTATTCTATTATCATTTTTATTTACTTGTATTTAATTATATTATAATTACTTTTTTATTAAATTTTTAACACCAGTGTAAAATACTTTTTTTGATTAAAACGTATGCCCCATTGTTTTATTTTAAAAACAGTTTTTTATTGCAATGATTTCCAATTTATATCTTTACTTATTATTGTGGTGCTTTTACACCACATATTATACAAAAACTTTATTAAAATAATATTAAGATGATCATTACTAAAATTTCGGCACATTATATAATTAAGCTGTGGTCGATTATTTGGTGAGAATACTAATTAGACAGCTATATAAATAATCAGCATAGTTACATTATTTAAATTCCATGTCAAGTTTAGTTTTTAAAGTGTTCACAGAAATAGCATTAATAACATCATTAGGTAGTTAATTCCAGTAAAAAGTTTTTTTGTTTGTTAAAAAAGTTGTTTTGCTATTATGTTTCATTTGATAACCTTTTGCTTATTGATAACTTTGTTAATTAAATTTAGTTTTTCAATTCCATTAAAAACATTGGAATGAAGTCACCCCGAATCTACTTTACAACTGAAGAAGTGAGATTCAAGTTGTCTAATATTTTCTCATAAGATTTTTTTTAGTGGTAACATTGCACTTGTAGCACAATGCTAAACCTTTTCTTAATGATTAAATTCATTTGTAATACCACACAGATACAGGGAATTCATTTAAGGGTCTTACAAAAAAAAAAATTTTAAAGTAGTAACTCACTATTTAAAACACTATAAAATATGTATTCTTTAACATACCCAAAACTTTATTTGCTTTTTTTTTTTGTTTATTCACCTACCCAAGGTCAAGAAGGCTACAGATGAGGAGACTGCTCAATTATGGTTATAAACCTCTCTTAACTCTATAACTCTGAAAAACTAAACTTGATGAACAAGGCCGCTGTGCAGTGAAACAAGTTGAGTGCGGTACTACCAGAGATATGCTGGAGATTGAATTCGGAACCTCTCACTTATAAAGTGAGCGCCTACCACTACACCACTAGCACTTTATTTGCACACAGAGTTTTTCCATTTTCAGTCAGAGGTAATACTACCAAGATCTTTATCAACAACAGCTTAAATGTATATTTTGTAAAAGTAATTTTTTTTCAGGTTTTTCCATAAGTGCATAATTAAACACTTCTCAAAATTAAACTTTAATAGCTATTAGTTGGACCAGCTTTATCTAGGTCATTTTGCAATAACTTAGCACTTGCTTCGCAATCAACACTTGATAATACTTTTTCATTAAAACACTTTTTAATTTCATTCTGCATTAAAGAAATTAATAATTAAATCTCACACAAAACTTTTCTAGAGTTACAGTTTACTTTCTTTTCTTAAATTTAGGACAAATATTGGCTGATTTCCACTGAAAAGATAATTCACTCAATGGAAGCGGCACAAATGTGCAAGAGGTAGAGCTATTCCATATACATAATTTTTTAAGATTAAAGATTTCATAAGATCTGCTCCACACCACTTCTTGGTATTTAAATGTTCTAATCTATTAAGAACATCTTTGTATGAGATATCAAAATCCAAATTTTGATTGATTCTAGATACAAATGCTGGTAAATTAAAATTGAACGGGTCATTTCATAAATACCATAAGTCATTTTTAGACAAAAATGTATTAAGTATGATATCATGTTATTTGAGGCTAGAAAAACTTTGTGAAATCATATTAGTCAGACTTTCCAGTCAACGCCTTATAAAGTGTTAAATGAAAGGTCTGACATGTATATAACATGAACATACCCTCATATTACATGATTATGTCTCATCATTTTTTTCCAAAAATACCTTATAGCGTTTGTGAAATGACCTGTTCAATTATTCTCTCGAACAAATACATATTGAACTTTCTTGTTAAGTAAATTTGAATCTGATTTTGGTCGTTGGTCCATTTTCATTAAGTAATACTTTAATTGAATTATTAATCTGTTGTTGGTTTTTTGTATTTGTTAGTGAAGTATTTGTTAATGAAGAAGAGTGCTCTCCATCGAGGACAACTTTTATAATACAATTGGTAAGGAGGGATTCAATAATCTTAAAGATGTTACCTGATACACTGTAAAAAGAAAGCATATGGTGAAGACCAGCTTTATATGGTGAAGACCAAACTTTATCAAAAGCTTTAGAAATGTCGAGAGCAATAGTCTTAAACTCTCCACATCTAATGCAAGATAAAACCTATCGGCTGTTAGATAAGGCAAGATAAAGCAAATCAGCTGTAGAACAAAAAGATTGAAATCCATATTAATGAATAGAAAGTAATTTAATAGATTCAAGATGAAAGATTAAGTGTTTGTTAATTAAAGATTCAAAAACTTTGCTTATGATAGGAAGAAGACTAAAGAGACGGTAGTTAGATGAGTCAAATCTCTCTCCAGAGAATCAGATCACTCTCCAGAGTTTTTGAAAATAGGGATAACAGAAAACAAGGCTCTGATAAGCACTTGTCAAATAGTGTTGATCACTTTAAATACAAAATCACTTTAAATACAAAAGCTGGAGTGATACAAATGTCAAGCAAATAAAATTATTTGTCAGCTATATCAGGTAGAACGCAACTAGTGGAATCAAGAGATGATATTGATGAAAAGTTCTTAGCAAAAAATTCAGCTTTGTCTTAAGGTGAGGTGACAAAATCTGAACCATGCAAGAGAGATGGAATAACAGATTTGTCCTTATTATAAATACTTTTAAAGTTAACCCTTATTATAGATTTTTTAACCATTGTTAACCCTTATGATAGATACTGCCTACTGCATACTATAGAGACTGCCCTTACTATAGATACTGTTAAACTTATTCTATTCTAATTCTTCTATAAAAGAAAATTTCCTGAATTTTTATACTTAAATAATCTAAAAAAGTATAAAAATACATAATCAAAATAAATTTGAAAACAAAAAAAATACTTCGCCTGTGGTTTGCAATCCAATAACAACAGAGTAACCATCTTGTAGTGCTTGCTTTGAAAGTTTTATTATTTCTTGGGTTTTCATGCTCATGCTAAAATGTTATTTATTCAATTTAAAAAATTTTATATAAAATATTTGAAACAAAAAATTTAATCATCTAAATTATATTTTAAAAAAATGATATTTAAAAAAAACTAAGAAAAAAGTATAAGAAAAAATAAACTAACTAGTCTATGAGAAATGTACAAAAACAAATATGCATATATGTGGTAGTGGTGTATTGGTAGAACACTTGCCTCATTAGCGAGAACTTCCGAGTTTGATCCCCACCATATCCCAGGTAGCACTGCACTTAACTTAAATTCCGTGAAGCAGCCTTGTTTATCAAGATTACTGTTTCAGAATATCAGAGTTGGGGGAGGATAGTAACCACAATTAAAGTATCCTCATTAACTGTATTGGCATTTGTGGCCTTAGAAAGATGAATTTACATTAAAAAAATAAAAATCAAACAAAATTTCAGGGATCAATTATACATATTCTTAAGACAAGCTGGATTATATCTTTAAAAAAAAATTTAAAAATAATCTTTTTTTTTTCGTTTTAATTTCATTAACCAAACCAGATAATACAAATATCTTTATTAAAAATTGTTAACCTAATATTAGGACTATAATTTGGAAACGAGATGGCAAAACAAAAAGAAACAAGATGGTAAAACAAAACAGTCGAAATGTTTTGTTTTTTTTGATAAAAATTTTGAATAAATTATTTGTTTTTGGTCAAAATCTTTTTTCTAATGTTTATTTATGAAATTAATGCAACTTGTATGCACTTGGAGATCTTTTTAATAAAAAAACTGGATAAAACTAATTACATTTTTTACATTTTTTAGGTTTTGTATATATTTAAAATATCATGCATATATACATGAACTGCCAATTAAAAAAGAAATTCAAACCTTTAAGGTTTAAGAATCAATTAAGATTTAAAAAACTTAAAATATTATAGGATGAATTGAAAAGCTTTATGATAAACGTTAGACAAAGATGATGAATGTTAGACAAAGATAATGAATGTTAGACAAAGATGAAAAAAAAATCAAAAGCTATAAAAAAGATTTAATGAAACAAGGTCTACAAAAATAGAGAATAAACTACCACAAAAGAGAAGTTGATGGTCTGATAAATGTGTGCTATTTTAAAGAACCAAAAAAATTTAGTCAAATATAGTTTAGTTTAAAATGATCAAAATTTAATTAAAATTATCATTAGAGATTTTATTTATACTTAAGAGGAATATAACTTCAGTATCTCTTTGCATATATAACTAAATAAATAAAGCAAACAATATTTTTAAGATTTTTATGTAAAACAGATTCATTTGATTTAAACTATGCACAGTAAATTTTTTTTTAAACAACAGTAATATGCCATTTAAATCTCAAAATTTTTTCTAAATCCAAATTCAATACATTTACACTTTATATTGTATTATTATATTTATATTTTCATATTTATGTTATATTTTATATTTATGCATAATTAATAAATATATAAACAATATATAATATATTTACAATAGAACATACCATAATTGCTTAAAAAATCGTTGGTGACTTCCCCAGTACAAAGTCCAGATTCTTGAGTTAAAAATACCTAAACGATCTAATGCAACAGCCAAACTTCTCTTCAATTCTTTCCTAGTAAAAAGTTAAAAAGTAGAAAAGTAAAGGATAAAATAATGCATAATAAAAAAATAAGAATTCATAAAAAAAACTAAAAAAATATAACCACTATTGATTAAGTTTTAACAAACAGTTTTAGAAATTTAAAAATAAGTTGTTTTACACTATAATACCAGCAAGGTTGAGTCATGCAATCATAATTAATCAAGTATTTTGTAGTACACAGGGGCTATTCTAGACCATTTTTGACAGCATTGAGCATAATTGGGTAACATTTGGGTGCTGCTTAAATTCAGTAACTGAGGACCTTTTTTTTACCAATTCATCCTCCAAATTTTTTTACAACATAGCACAGGCATGGGGGGTACCACCACCAAAATTATTTTCCAAGAATAGCCTGTGGTACAAACACAAAATATCTACATTTCAGAGTATAATATCTACTAGTTATGGTACAAAATTAGAATAATATATAATAATAATAAAAGCTAGAATGTGGGTGGGAGAGTTTAAGGCTATTGCTTCGACATTTCTAAAGCTTTTGATAAAGTTTGGTATACTGGTCTTCACACTTAGGCATTAGTTTTAGTAACAACTTTTGAAAACTGAACCAGATATTTTTAAAACTGTTCATCATCATACAGTAACCCTTTTAAGTATGATATTGCAGTGGTTCATTCTCCATAGATTATTTTATACTAAATTTTTTTCATTTAACCCAACTATACTGTAACTATGGTGAAATATGACTTCTAAATATGATTATAAATAATTATTGTTCACAACATGTTAATAAAAAAAATATTATTCAATAATATCGTACCACAACTATGAAATATAACCACCACTATGCAGTAACCCACTACTATGCAATTATTGTACGCAATGGTGAGCGAAGTAAATTTATAAATAATAAAAATTAGAATTAAAATGAAAATTACAAATAAAAATAACAACAACTATTGAAAAGAGTTTTAAAAACATTTTTAATAAATTTTTATCTGCTACATTATTTTTTTTTTTTGTTTTTTTAATGTGTTCATTTTAATAATTTTATTAATCTCATTGTTTGTTTTAATTAAAAAAAAAAAATAACCCTAAAATATTTTGTATTGTAATTCTTTTGTAACCCAAATATTTGGAACAAGTAACCTGCTTAGTTAATGCTACAATTCCATTTAAAATATTAAATAAATTTAATATTTTTTGCATCCAGAAACTTAAAGATTGTCTTGATTACATGCAAACTAAACTGGCCAGCAATGCAAAAAAAAACGAAGAACTTAAAAAAACATTTTAAATAAACTTTTGGTATGTATTACAACTGTTTTTGCTAATGATTTAATTCAGTTTTTGTTATGTTATATAATAAACTTATATGCTAATTTAATTTATATATAAAGAGAATTTCATAATAGAATTATAAAAGTATGTTACTGATGGCTAGTATATAATATAATAGTAATATAATATAATAGAAAGATCTCACTTTCTTACTGAAATTGAAGAAAAAACTGATACCATAGCATTTTTTATACCATAAAATGCCATACATAAAATTAACAAGCATTTTAAAAATTTTTTAAATGCCTGTTAATTTAAAAAAAGAATTTAAAAGATTAAAAAAAAAAAAGCCTTATAAATAAATGACAGGTGTTACCTCAAAAATGCAACTACAAGAAAATATTAAAAAAAAGTATATTTTTTTGAAAAATATCAAATTAGGATTATTTTGCTAATTTCTATATTTTTCTTTTAAATTCTGTAATTCTTTTCTGGTAATTCTTTAAAATGAACTGCATTCAATCTTCTTTTTTCCTTGCTTGCAAACTGTTGTACTACCTCTTTTCTTTTTGCTTGCAAACTGTTGTACTACCTCTGGAGTGTTTTTTTTTAAGCAATACTTGAATCTTTCAATAAGATTTTGAACATTTTTGGCTTCCCACTTTCCCTTGTAGACTAAACCTTTCAAATAAACCCAAAAGTCTTTGATTGGCCTTATCTCAGGGCAGTTGGCTGAATAATCTTTTTTGAGAATATAATTGATACTTTCACTGTCCAGCAAAGCAATGACATTTTTTGCATAATGAGCATAATTTGCATAATTGAAAAAATGTATTTGTCATCAGGATAATATTCACATATGAATGGAATCAAAATATTTTCAATGCAATCTTTTTTGTGCGTAAATTTATTAACAGAATAGGCAGATTATTACTAGTCTAATCATACCTGTGGGACTAATTGCAAGCCATACCAATATTTTGCTTTCGAACTTTTTTTTGTACTTAATGCCAGGAGAAACATTCTTGGGGTCACTGGAGTAATACCCATCATTCCTAACAACTGTGTAAAATAAGATTTGTCATCCATAATAAAATTTTTGTTAAAAAACTATTTATACAACACCTGCATTTAAGGCAAGAGGCTCTTTGCTGCTCAGACTGTTTTATTATTGATTCCCACTGATGATACTTGATGTTTGTCTTTGTTTTTAACAATTTTTGAGTGTTTGTGATCGGAATTTTAATGTTTTTGGCTCCTTTTTTATTGGTTACTTTGGGATTATTGTTAAAATAAGCAGCAAGCTGGTTGATTTTACTTTTTGTGCCATTTTTTTTCAAATTTTTTTTTATTTTTTGCATTCCAATTTCAAATCTTTTAAGTATATTATTTATAATTAATTATTTTTAATTATATTAAATATACAGTTAATTTCAGAACATTTTCCGCTTTAAAATGATTATAAGTAAACAGTTTTCCTTGTGTAATATTATTTTTGTAGAACTTGTTTTTTACATTACATTATTTTTTTACATATTTACATTACATTATTTTCTTACATTACATTATTTTATTTTTTTTTGAGCTCATTTTTATAAATAAATAAAAATTATTTATGATTAATAAGTTTTTTTTTGTAATTACATAATGTCTAGTTTACATAAATTAACTCATACATTATTAGTTAACATTTGCACACAAGCTATTGTATTTTATGGAGATCTTTTTTTGAGGGGACACCCCTTAGACAAATAAGTAAATAAATAAATAAAAATATAAAATCTTCCTGTAAAGGTTTAGAAACTTGGAAATGACAAAAAAACTTACCAAACAACTACAGCTTCATTGTAAATTTTAATTTGTTCTTTTGTCAAATCAAATTCAACTGTTTGAAACTAAAAGAAAAAATATAGTAACATAAATATAGTAATATATAGTAACGGTAGCATAGCAACAGTACATCACAAATTGAATTATTAGATTGCAAATGGCAACCTAATTTATTATAAATGTATTTTAATTTAAACATATTCAATTTATTTTAGTTTATTTTAGAAATCACAAATAATTTTAGACTGTTCTTTAATAGCAGTTATTTTTATTATTATTTTTATTATTTTTTAGAAAGTTTTAAAATCCAAAACAAAACTTAATAATTTCAAAAATTGATGAAAGATAAATCATGCTAATTGATAAGAAAATATAATAAAAATAAAATATTAAAAACTGCACTTCATCACATTTATAAAAGTTTTAATATATTACATGTACTTTACTTGATTTGATTCCGTAATATATTTCTAAATTTATGAGGAAGTTTTCAACAACCAAAATTCAATTGTTTCAAAATCAATTTTTTTTTATACCCTTTATTTTATTATTTGAAATTTGATTTAAATTAATATTATAATATTTGTAGAAATATCTAAAAGAGATAATATGCATTATAAAACATATTTCTGACAGTAAAAATCTCAAAATAATAAAAAAAAAGCTTGTAATACAAAAAAATACTAATTAAACTTTTTTTAAATCATACTCTACCTGTGGAGGACTAAAAAGTAAAAAATTTATGTTTATAATTAAAAAATAGGTGGCATATACATTAAATGAAAGTTTGGGTTTAAGCAGTTGTATGTTTGTATGTAAAGTATGTATGTAAATCAAACTTAAAGGGATCCCAAACTCCCGACACATGTTGTGTTCATGTTAAAGATAATGTTAAAAAAAAAGGTTTGAACCAAGTTTTTTTGATTAAAAATAAATAATGAATGCATACCGTGAAAAACAAATGTTATTGTTTTTGCTGTAGCTCGCCTTCTCCATTTTTTTCAATAAATCGGAGTCTTCAAATTATGCGTCGCAATCTACAGACTTTGGCAATTCCTTTGAAGCGCGTTTAATTCATAAAAGTTTTAGTATTTGACGTCACGGTAGACTTTTATCAAAAGAAATTCTGGAAATATTTTTATTTATTTTTAGTCAAAGTTTTTTTGGTTATTTGTTTAGTTTTTTTTTTCTACTTTTAATATTTAAAAAGATATTAAAAACCTTAAATATATTATGCTGGTTCGTTGCTATAAATTGTTATTACGCTATATATTTAATGTTTATAAATTATGAATATTTATTATCTCAATTAAGACTCTGATAAAAAAATGTTTAACATTATTTACCCGTATAAAATTAGTAAAAGCATTTTTATTTGGTTAGATAATATTTCGTCTCAATTTGCTTTGCATGAAGTTCGGGATGTCAAGCGAAAAAAATTAGTTTGAATAATCATTTTGAAATATATTCAAAACAAATTATTTTAATGACGGGGGTTTAAAAGTTTTTTATAACAAATGTAGGCAAAAAATAAATAATTAAATAAAAAGTTCAACATTAAACATCATTTCTATATTATATTGCAACTGTAAATATTGAAATATTAACTTGAACTAAATTTACTTATTGTTTAGAACGACTAAGCAATAAAAATAAAAAGCCCCTAAAATTATGCGATATTGTGTTGTTTATTTGATAATTGCTGTTGGTAATGTTGTTTATGTTGATTATTTTCATTAATATCAAAATAGTCCCAGATTAATCTGTTAGTTGCTTTGTTCATTGTTGCTTTATTTCTAATGAAAATTGGAAGAGAAAATTGCTTGAAAATTTGTATTTGTTGTGTTTTAAAATTTTTTATGTTAATAGACAAATGCCAAATACGATACAAATTGGGAAATACTTAATATAATATGTTTTTTAACGCGCGTTATGACATTTTGACAATTTAAATTACCATTTATCTTGAATTATTGCCATTAATTAATGTGTTAATTATTGCGTTATATAAAAATAATTTGTCCGTATTTTTGTTAAATATTAGTTGTATAAAACGGATGAAAATATACAAACTTCATGTTTTTATTTGATGGTTATAAAATATTGAACAGTAAACTAATACTCAAAATTTATAATGCCGACTTGTGTTGTTATTAATTGTACTTTTAATGCAAAACCAAGATCTCACAAATCCTTTCACGAATTTGCATATCTGATACTACTGTCAACTGTATTGTTTAGTGTATTCTTGAATTTTTTTTCATAACCTTAACAGGTTCTAATTGGTATGGAGTTGCCAACATTTTAAAAGTTTCATTATCAAAAATCAAATGTAAAATAAAATGATATTTCCTTTTTATCCGTATCCAATTTAGCAAATTTAGCAATTTAAAATAAATCAGCGTAATCAAAAAATTTTTATAATAAAAAAAGTTAACAATTCATCATATATCTCTAATTAATACTGTCAGTTTATGAAATTAATTAATACTTTTTTTCGACGGGAAAAGAAAAAATATCATAGCGTAAAAATTACCAGAGAATTTAGAAAAAAGTTCCGATTAATTAGATAAAAATAAGTAAGATTCAGAATATATAATTCTGCGCTCTTTTGCACAAAAACAAGAGACCGTATACATAACAATCTATATAATGTAAAACACTCGTATGAAAATCATAAGATTCGTAAGTAAAGCTTTAATATTTGTTTTAATTTAAAAACAAAAGAAATATAAGTAAGATATATAAATCGAAAAATTATTAAGATATCTGTAAAAAACAAGTTGCTCCTATAAAATAAAAATAATTTATCATTTTTTCTTTTTACAAATTTTTTTTTGCGATGTTTGGAAAAATAATACAAATAAATTTGTTTTGCTGTATATTAAAAAAATACTACAGTAGAAAAACGCAGCTTAGTTTAATTACACTTTTCTTTTGTTAAAAGTCTACCATGACGTCAAATACTAAAACTTTTATGAATTAAATGCGCTTCAAAGGAATTGCCAAAGTCTGTAGATTGCGACGCATAATTTGAAGACTCCGATTTATTGAAAAAAATGGAGAAGGCGAGCTTCGGCAAAAACAACATTTGTTTTTCACGGTATGCATTCATTATTTATTTTTAATCAAAAAAACTTGGTTCAAACCTTTGTTTTTAACATTATCTTTAATATGAACACAACATGTGTCGGGAGTTTGGGATCCCCTTAAGAGCAAAAACATTGATATTTTTACACACCTCCCTAATGATTGTTTCTTTTTTTTTAATGTAGGTTTGAATTATATATATATATATATATATATATATATATATATATATATATATATATATATATATATATATATATGTATACATTAAATTAAGTATACAAAAAAATTTAGATCTACCTCTGCATCATGATAAGATAAACCACGAGAAAGATACATTCCGGCTGCCTTCATTTCCATCGACAACATTTCTAAAGCCCCTGAGAAAATTAAAAAAAAGTTTAAAAAAGTTGCAGAATTAATGAGTATAAACTTATTAGAAATTATTGCCGTATAGTTAATAAATAAAATAATATTAATAATCTTGATTTATTTGGTCATTAAATATCAAAAAAATGATAGACCCAATTAAGTGCACATACATCAACTGACTTGAATAGGAAGAACTTGCAGACAATGCAGGGAGTACATATATTGACTGAGGGAGTTAGGATTTTCAAATCTAATAAAAACCCCATATGATGTATGCTCACTGCCTGCAAATTCTTTCTATTTAATTCAGTCAAATAATGTATTCTTTGTTGCATGTACTCCCTATTCAAGCCATTTAATTTATGTACAAAAAAGTTGAAATAAGCAACTTGGTACCTAAACCCCTAGTAGTTAAAGAGTGATGAAAACTTTCAAAATCATTAAAAGTTGTGCCAGATCCCCAAAATCCTAGTCTCTCCATAAAAGCCTAATAAATTAAAAAACATTTCAATAAAAGATTAAGAATTACATTTAAAACAAAATTGAAACAAAATTAAACAAAAAAAATATAAAAAGATAAACAAAATTGCAAATAGCAAATAACTTTATAAAAAATAAATTTATAAAAAAAATAATTTTTAAAACATCTTAAAGGGGCGCAATTGCCCCCCTCTCCCTGCGTTTTTTCAAAAAAAGTTTAAACTCAATTACTTAATTGAATGATACCAACAATTAAACAAGTTAATTTTTGGTATCATTCATGTTAATTGTTGATATCCACTTATTATTAAAATGAGTATCAATAATAAAACAATATTAAATAATAGTATTAGTAGTAATAAATAATAATATTTGTAAATAATAATAATAACAAAATAATAATAATGATAATGTGAAAATAATAACAGTAGTAATAATATTAAAGGAATCAGCATGCTAGACTTCCACTCTCATTGATGTTCATTGAAATCAGTTACTTTTTCTGCTTAATCCAATACAAAACCATTCAGTTATTACTATTAACAAATCAACAGAATAAGGAGATAGTAAATATTAATTGTCAAAAGTAAGCAGTTATATTCATAGTAAAATATTAATAAACTGTAAACTAAAGACTCAAAGATCTATAACAGTAAAACTTATTTTTTCCTCTTTATATAATGAAATGAGTTTGATAATTAAATAATTATTACAATTAGCAATAACTATATGATAATTATACAACTAGTAATAATTATATTTTAACTATGGCAATTAGTAAAACTGTATAATAATAAAAACAATTAGTGATAGTTACTGATAATTTTTTTTTTTAATTATCTTTATTTATTCATATAAAATACTTTTTTCATTCATATAAAAAGCTATGGTGCCATATGGTGATTTTGGTTGGGGTGTATTCTCGGGGTGTTTCTTTGCTAAATTTATTTGCTTCTTTTTTTATGGGTTTGTTAGTTATTGTAATTAATGCATTTAATTTTTTACTAAATTTACTTTTTTATAATTTACAAAAAATTCACATCAAAAAATGCTGTTATACAGCAACAATTGCAATAGTGGTGCAGTGGTAGAGTGCTTGTCTAAGCAAAAAGTTCATTCCTAACCATGTCCCTGGTAGTACCGCGCACAACTTGTTTCTGTGCAGCATCCTTGTTCATCAAGGTTTGTGTTTCGTGTTAAGAGAGGTTGTAGCAACAATTATAAGTAGCCTCCTCAACTGTAACTTTCTTGGCTTTGGGAGGTGAATAAACATTTTTAAAAAAACAAACATCAGAGGTTGCTGTGGGCAACCACTATTTAAGTAGATAAAACAGTTAAAGAATAAAAAAACTCAAAAAGAAAATAGTTGATAAAAAACTCTAAAAGCTATTACTTGAAAAAATATAAACATGGAAGAGAATTCTAAAGCACTGATGTTTGAGGGAAAAAACTCATAAAAATCTTCAAGCAAGATTGAAATTAGGTAGATGGAACAAGAGACAATAGCTCACTTGAGCAGCAGTCTAAATAATATGTCCAGAAAAGAGAAAAGGTTAGAACCTTACAACAATGTGATTAAGATTGGATGCTAGCCCAAGCCAATTTACATTTACAATGCATTATAACACCTTGTCTAAAAAAGTAAAGGACATTAATAGATGAGTCTAAATGTCAATACTATTACAATAATAATTGCCTAAACTTACCCATAACTTAGTTACACTTAGTTACCTGTACTTAGTTTAATTTGAGCTAAATTTAACCAGCCATTCCAAACCCTATACTGTCACACAGGGGAGACACATTCAAGAACAGCTTCTAGTTTTAAGCAATCAAAAAGTGAATATTTGTTAAGAATGGAATATATAATTGTCAGAAAGATCATTAATCTAGATGGAAAGATATAGATCAAGAACAGAACCTTGTGGTAATTTACTGGATATAAAAAAATGATCATTCATCAAGGATAGCTTGCAATCAATTGCAAGCTTGCTGCAATTAAAAAGAAAGTATCAGAGCAACCTCGTTTTTAAAGATCCACAAGATGAAGATTTACAAAGAACCACAGATGCTACTTTTCAAGATTCAGTTACACACTTGTTAACATTTTAAAAAGAGCTCTAGAGAACACTTTTGCAAACAGGAATGTGATCACATACTGTAAAAGAGTTTAAGTGAAAAATAACTTTAGTAACAGAAAGCAGAGCAATTTAAATGTTTTATATTATATTTAAATTATTATATAATTGTTTAACTAATAGATTAACTTGTTTGTCTAAAATGTCAGAAAGAATACAGTCATGAGATTCAAGAATTTAATTTTCAAATTTTCAAAATGAAAAATGCTTTTTATATCTGCAGCAACACTACTATTATTAACCCTTTCTCTGCAAAAGTAACCATCTTTGCCAGAGTTTATAAAACAGTGTTTTAAAGCTCAGAAATGGTAAAAAACTAATTAAATCCTACTTACCTGTAATAAAAGCTAAAGTTGCATAAATTAGAATGCATAAATTAAAAAAAGCATTAAACTAAAAAGAATTTATTGATGATGATGATGTCGATGTTGATGTTGATGATGATGATGATGATGATGATGATGATGATGATGATGATGATGATGATGATGATGATGGTGGTGGTGGTGGAGCCCACTGCAGGCCTTGGCGAGAACAAAAAAAATTATACTTTTGCGAGAGCCGTAAATTGCTCCTGTAAACTGTTTTAGGGGAGTGTGGCAGGTTATCTTACATTAAAGGGAATCGGGGGGAAGCGAGAGCTAAAGCTCTCGCTTCCCGCCGAGGCCTGCCACTGTGTGCTTTTAATGAAAGATAACCTTTGTGCTAACTTTTAACATGATAGTTCAAGATAATGCTTTTTAACCAAAGTTTAATCTTTTAAAAAGTTAAATTGCAAGATGAAAAACATGCACTTTAAAAAATTTAAGAACAAAAAATACAATGTATACAAACCATATTTTTGAGATCCGTAACACCAGTTGCGCTACAATAAATAACTCTTGCTTTTGGCAGTAATCTATAAACAATTTTGAGTTTTTTATGATTATTTTTGCAGAATTATTTCAATATTTCTTTTTTCTTTAAACTTACCTCTGGATAGTCGTGACTAAACTTACCTCTGGATAGTCGAGACTGCAACAGCAACTTTGCTGCTTGAACTTTCTTTACCCTAAAAATTAAAAATTAAAATACATAAATTTCTTTTGGAAGTAAGTATAAACACTATATTATATTGTAGATTAAAGCCAAAACAAATCGTCATTGATGACATCATAATAGAATAGCCATAGGTAGGGGCTTCAGTACAATTTCTCATAATTAGGATCACCCTGCTACTAATAAAATATAATTCAGTGAAACCAGTCACAAATCATGTTGTTTTTTAGAATTTCCTTTTATTAAGCAAAAAAGTTAACTCTGACTTAAAACACCCCCTGTCTCTGCCTTGGGTTGGAGTAATGATTAAAGATGGTATCTAAATAAAAATACTTGGTCACTGCATCATGTAAACTGCATCCTGCTACTGTTTTGTAGAAAAACCTGTAAGGCAAAACTTTTAGAAGATAGCAAAAACTTTCTGTGTTAGCCTCACATCTCTTTTACATCTAATAAGATAGACTAGATGCTTTATTTTTTAACAATTATCTCCTTAAAATCTTATCTTAAGATCTTAAGGAGATAAAAGATAAAGAGATCAAAATCTTATTTAAGATTTCATTTTCAACTTTATTAATAAGAGTAGAGCTTTAAAACTCAATTTAATGCTTCTGAGGTTGGCTGGTATTAAAGTTTAAATTTAAAATTAACTCTACTTTTATCACACCAAAAATAAAAATGTTTTATTTTTTACCTCTACATTAGGAAAAATAACTATACAAACTAGACAAATTTTTTTAAGTAATTTATATTTTTTTAAGTAATTTATATTTTTAAATATAATTATTTTAAAAATATAAATAAGTTTCCTTTTATTTGTTTAAATCTCTAGTCGTGGAAATTATAAAAACAAATGCAAGAGGTAACCAAGCACAAGTGGACTTTGTATTTTTTACAAAAAAATGACTGTATCCAGACTTGCAATGTTAGCACCTTTGCTGTTTTTCAGCAAAGTTAGGCAAGTGACCAATATTGTCTAAATGGATTTCTTTAGCCGGGGCATTTACTGGGCAAAGTTTTCATTTCACAGCAGGTGTATTACTGTGGGTGGAATTCTAATAACTGAATAATATTTTTTCTGATATATCCATTTTGTTTAAAATGTCTTTAATACAAAACCCATTCACTATTGCTACATTTATACAATAATAAATTATATGCATGCACCATTTTTTTTGTACCTAACTTAATTCTATACAATGCCATTAAAATGTCACACAAGTCAACTTCACCTATATGTTTATTATATTGATATACCATTTCTAGGCAAAACATTTTCACAATTACTTTATTTTTGCTGGACCAGGGATTAATTGATTCTTCTAATGATGGACCAATAAATATAGATGCTTGCTGTACTCCTCCATTATCCATCCAACGTATAATTGTTATGTTGTAATTAAAATCAACCCGGCAATCTTTGCTTTGATTTTTTTAATTTTTTATCAAGGTGCCTTACCTAATGAGCCACGTCCCATTCTTACTGGTTCTTTTTTTTGAGACTTATACTTTTTCATGCGGTTATAACGAATGGTTCCTAGCTAAAATAGTAAATTTTCAGTGGTAAAAACAAAACGAAAAAATAAATAAAAAATAAATAAAAAGATTATCCATGGAGATTTTAAGAAGATTTTATGGTAAATGGGTGAAGAATAAAAGAAAGCTAATAAATACATTCAACCATATTCTAAAGAATATGATTGAAGCACTGCTGCTTCAACCATATTCTTTAAAAACATCGGTATTTTTTTCCTTGCTATGACAGATAGTAAAATCGTAAAGCATTCCACTGACTCCACATCGCGCCCAGACTTTTATGCCCCATTTATGCGGTTTCTTTGGAGACATTGTCTGATTGGACACCTTAATTTTGTGGGAATAATTTAATGTATTAGATTAAGGAAGCAAATTCCAAAGAACTGGTATTCGAGGAAAAAAACTAGAGGAATAAGAGTTTTTGGAGCACTTAGGAACTGTCACAGAAAAAGGATGAGACTTAATTGAATGATGAGTGACATGAGAATGAATTTTAGTAGATGGTAGAAAAGACGCTAGCTCTTTAGAGCAGTGTCCATTATAGTATTTGTAGAAAAGAGAAAGAGAAGAAACATTAGGACAATGTGATAATGGTTGGAGGTTGGCTGCAAGAGCAGGTCCAACTATGTTTACAATGCGCTTTTTCACCTTGTCTAAAAGAGAAAAGGCATCATTAGTAGATCCGCCCCAGATATGGCAACAGTATTTCATACAAGGCCGGATTTGAGATTTATAGAGATAGAAAATAGAATACGGAGTAAGAAAGTGTCAAGCTTGATAAAGAGATGCAACCTTAGCAGATGCTAATTTTTCAATAGATATACTGACATTCTTCTTGCTCAAGTAAGCTGCACTTATCAAAAACAGATTGTACAATTGGTCTAACTTTGTACAAATGATCATATTCTACTGTGCTTTTTTTTGGCATGTGTGTATCATCATTTGCATGTAAATACTTTTTTAATAATTCAAATCATTTTAAAACCATAATATCTGCAATTGATGCACATTTAGTATATTGAGATCAATACATCCTATAATTAATAAATTTTAGCACTCACACTTAGTAACATATATTGGTTTTTTAGCTTTAACTTTTGTGGTATTAAGCATTTAAAGAAATAAAAATTTAAAAAATTCTTAAAACCTTATCTGCGTAATGTGGTTGTACAACAGCATAGTAACTTTAATCATCTTTACCCATGTAAATTGTAATTTAAAAGAAATTATGTTTGTATATAAAATAATAATAACTAATTTATATTATTTTGTTTTTAAAATACTTTCTAGACAAAAAATATATATGAAAATACAGATATAGAATTTTAGAATTATACAAATAGCTTCACTATTACACTTTTTTAACTTGAGCTATAAATTATATGCAAAACATCCTATCCAGCAGAATAACAATATAAATTTAAGGACTTACTGATTTTAAGGACTGTGATTACTACTACTAAAAGGCCTGTATTTTAAATGTTGTCTCAAGTTACTAAATTTATCTGTGATTATTAATACTAAAAGAACTGTGTTTTAAATGTTGTCTTAGTTACTAAATTTATAATAAATATAAACTGTTGTTATGCCAAAACACTACAAAGGGTTAAAGTTAAAATTCTGAATTTTGCGATAACTCTTAGAATCATTAATTGAGCCATATCAGAGGCTACTCTAGGAAAATAATTTGGGCGGCGGTAGCCCTCGTGCCCGCGCTATTCGATAAAAAAATTTATCATTTTTTTGCAAAAAACAAAAAACAAAATTTGTTGTTTAAAAAAAGGTCCTCTATGTCGGGGCTATCGAAAATGATCTACAATAGCCCTTGTGTATATATATATACATATATATATATATATATATATATATACATATATATATATATATATATATATATATATATATATATATATATATATATATATATATATATATATATATATATATATATATATATATAATAAAAACTATTAAAAACAAAAAAAAAATGATCATTTACTGGAATAAAATGCTTTGCTTTATGTGATTCATCAAAAATAAGACAGCCATCAAAATCTTTACCACACCAACCAATTAATTGATCTAGTCTACTTGATTTGCCTGAAACAAGAAATAACAAACAATAAATATATAAAATTAAATATTATATTATGTGCCCTTGGAACTAGGGTCAGCATTCGGCAAAAAATTGCCGAACTCATTTAATGATAAAACTTTTGCATAAAATTGTTTTTGCCTACCACTGAAAAATTAGTCAGCAAATTATTGCTAATCTCATTTTTTCTAATAATTATAGACTATATTGTATTATATATTACACATAAATTTAAAAATAAAAACTAAAAACAATAGTTTTCAATACTAAAAATAATGTTATCTTTACTTTGAATTTTGAACTGATTGTTGGAGCATAATTTGTATAGAACTAACTCAATATAATACATTTGTAACTACTAATATATTCATTGTTTTCAAAAAGGTGGAATCAACACAATGTGTGCTAAATGAATATTCAGAATGGTCATGTAATTTTTTATAGTCAGTTTCATAGGCTACAGAGCCCTTAGGCATATGAAGTTATTGCCTATAATTCAAAATATAAGTTAAAACAAGACATACAGTAAAACTTAATTATCTGTTGTTTTTGTATTTATTGATTTAATAAAAAGCAAAAAAAAACTGTAAAAGTAACAATTTTTTTCTAAAAGAGAAAGGGTTATCATTTGAAGATCCACTCCAGGTATAGCAACAGTATTCCATACAAGAACGGATTTGAAATTTATAGAGATAAAGAATAGAATCTAAATTCAGAATTTTAGTGGTAAAGTGATGTTAAATTTGCAATGGATTTGGTGTAACAGAAGTGAGATCCTTTTCAAGCTCAAATGCCCCCTCCAAACAATCAGAGAGAGTTGGTTTTTTATCAAGACAAGAATAAATGGTAGTATCATCTGCTAACAATTCCACCTTAGATGTGAGAATTTCTGAAAGATTTTTAATGCAAATTAAAAAAAGTATAGGGTCAAGGAGAGAACCTTGAGGAATCCCTGAAATTATAGAAATAAAGAAAAGTGCTGTCCATCCAGGATAACTTTTATAAACAATTGGTAAGAAAAGATTCAATAGTCTTAAAGATGTTACCTGATACACCATAAAAAGATAGCTTATGGAGAAGACCAGCATTCTAAACTTTATCAAAGGCTTTAGAAATGTCAAGAGCGATAACGTTAACTTCTCCACATCTAACTAATGCACAATAAAATCTATTGGTTATTATCATAATTAAGTTATGTAATGTTTATTTTTTGTGCAAATGCTTTTTGCAACACTCAAACCTTTCGTTGTTTATTTTATACTTATCATAGGAAATGATTTTAAAAAATTCAAATAAACTCAAAATAAATTTGATCATGTGATAAAATAAAATAAAAAAAAGTCTGGTAAAATTTTTTTAAGAAAGTAAAAAATTAGGCACCCCTAGGCAATTGTCTAGAGTTGTTTATGGTTACTATATACAGTAACTTGAACAGTTTAACAAAAATACTGCAATACAAGTATTTTTCCAATATATTCTAGAAAAATTTTGTTTCGTAACTTATAACATAAGGTCCACTCATTTGAAATGAGATAAGAGATTTTATTTTTTTATGAAAAAGTTAGTAGAACTCTTTATCAGAGAGAAAAATGTTAATTTCTTAATGACTTATTCATTATTGGAATAAATGACATTTTTTTATTGTTTAAATTCATCCTTTTATGACAAATTATAGAATGCCATTTTAAGCATAAAAAACAGCAATGTTTTCTGACTGGGTAAACTTAATGTATAGTTGTTACCAGAAATGCTTCTATCCAGGGCACAATTTAGAGGTCAGACATTATCCAGTCAATTTATATATATATAAATTTGCATTTTATATATATATATAAATATAAATATATATATATATATATATATATATATATATATATATATATATATATATATATATATATATATATATATATATATATATATATATATATATATATATATATATATATATATATATATATATATATATATATATATATATATTATATTGCTGATTTAGGTGAGCAGTGTGACGTCATACTGAAATAGCCTGCTGCTGGGGGTTTCAGTACATACATCGACTGACAAATAGTTTGACTCGCCATGGAGTGCTGCTATATCCACTGAGGGTTTGGGATGGATAGCAAATCTTTTCATTCATAAGGCTTTGTTTTCTTCTTTTTCTAAAAAAGCTGCATCGATTTAGATAAGCAAAAAAAGTGAGCAAATACTCACATAAATATGCTATAGTAGAGAAAATTTTGTTACATTTTTAATTGTATTTGAAATAAATTTCTTAAAACTTATCTTGAAACATTTTATTAAATACTTTACTTCTAATTACTTCTATTGATTGTTTAATAAATGAACAAATTTTATTTAAATTATTGAAAATTTTAAATTGTAAAGTTAAATTAACTTATTGAAAAGAAAAAATATATATTTTTAAGTCATATATATTTTTTAAAAACTTGCATAAAAAAATTGTTTGAAAAAATAACTTTTTTTCAAATTTTTTTTTTCAAAGTAATTTTTACTTACTTTACGCTCTGATTATTTAGTTAAGTTTAAAAAAATAAAACAAAACAACTCTTTGTAACAATAGAAACAAAAAAAAATAAAGCATTTAAATCATGGGAAGATTTGATTTAACTTATTCATTATTTCAAGTAACTTTTAAAAGATTTTTAGAAAGACATAGAGAAATAGTTTAAAGTGTTTAAATTTATCATAAAAAATACCTTAAAAAAAACTTAAAAATTTATTTACACATAATGGGCTTATTATAACTATATTATAATTAATTATTATAATTCATTCAAAAATAGTCATTATAATAAAAAATTTTATTTTAAAGTAAAATAAAAACTTTAAATCAATAATTAAAAAATTATTCTTAATGTAACTTTTTTTTTATTTTAAAAGATCAACAATTATTCTTAATATAACGATTATTCTTATATATTCTTATATATTTAATATAACTATTTTTTTTTTATTATATTTAAATTAATAAAACATCAAAAACGACTGTTTTGATGTTTTAAATTGTCAAATTGTAATGAAAAAAAAATAAGCGTGGTCATTTACAACGTGCAATCGCACGCTATTCCTGTCCCAGCCTGAATATGAAATGCAATGCAATGTAAACTAACAAAGTTTTCAAAAAACTAAACTCAATAAAAATTTAAGTCTAAAATATTGAATTGAAACTATTCTATTTAAAACAATTTACAATGAAATATTCTAAATAACAATGAAAGAAACTATAACTTCACTAGACTAACGTTAAATAAACTGAATAACATGACACAGCTTTCGATTGCATAATTTGGTTTTTTAAAACCATAAAAATTATATTTTATAAAATTTGTCCAACCCAAACAAGTTTTGATCAGACATTTTGTTCAGGACTTTATAAAAAATTAAATTGAGCCCTGCTTATATCCCATCTAAGCCACAGAATATTGCCTCAAATTCGATGAGAATGTGATTGACATTTTTTGAAAACACTATATAAAAAATTTGTAAATTGTTAACAAATCATTAATATTCTCTGGAAGTTTTATAGAGAAGGTTAATTTCAAGTAACATTTTTTAATATAAAGTCTTTTCTATGTAGCACACACACAAATGTATATATACATTTAATCATACTATTTGTTTTATGTTAAAGAAACAGCCCACATGATAAAAGCATTTTGTGTGATAAAGACATGATAAAATAATTTATTACTCACCAATTAAACAAAAAAATCTAAATATGGCTACTATATTTATTTATGCTTATATATATATATATATATATATATATATATATATATATATATATATATATATATATATATATATATATATATATATATATATATATATATATATATATATATATATATATATATATATATATATATATATATATATATATATATATATATATATATATGTATTATATATATATATATATATATATATATATATATATATATATATATATATATATATATATATATATATATATATATATATATATATATATATATATATATATATATATATATATATATATATACACTTATACATATATAATATATAATATGTATACATATATGTGTGTATCTCATAGTAGAAGGGTAGACAGTAGACTATATTAACAGTAGTAGTTAGATAAGTGTTTGCAAATTTATTACAGCTCAGTGTATTATGCTTTAAATATATTTACGCATAAATGGAAACATTTGCTTGTAATATCTGGCTTGTAATGGTTGTTACAGGTTACACAGAAAGTACAGGTTTTATTCTTCTAATGTGCACTCAAACTTTATGTTGAGAAGTCAACATAAAGTGTGAGTGTTACAGAAAGCAATTTTCACCATAAGATGGTTTGTTTACATTGTGCTTGGTTTTAAATACTTTGTGCAGCATCTGATCAAAATCAGAAAAAAAATACTTGCAGCTAAAGCACTGAAGAGTTTCAAGTTAAATTACTTAGTTTAAAATCTATCCTTAAGTCCCCAAACAATAATCAAGCTTTAATCAACCAATCACATTTCTTGTATTATAAACTTTTAATATTTTAATGTGGAAAATAAAAAACAATTTCAAAATGGCATACAAATATAAAATGCATCTTTGTTTGATTTTACAGCAAAATCAAAAGAAGATCTTATTTTAGACAACTAATTGACTATTATTGGTCAGCCGCTATATGAGCCACTGTTATGAAGTTATTAAACTTCCACTATTAGTTTATAGTTAAACAGTCAAATTGCAATTTAGTAACCTGCAACCATAGCAACAAGCTATACAGTTATCTCATTTCTATTAATGATCTCATAACAAAAGGCTACCTGCATGGCCTCAAGAATGCATACCAAAGCATTAACAGAGACACTATCTTTCAGAGATCAACAACTATTATTTCTTTGATATTTTACAGATTACTTACTTTAACACCTTAAAAACTACTAAGAGCTACTACAAATTTCAACCTTAAAACTATAAAACCATAAAAGATAACAGAAAAAGTTAGGAGATCTGTTAACAAAGAGTAAACCTAAAAGTAGAGAAAAAAATACATAATATCATCCGAGGCAGAAAACAATTTAACAAAGGTGGATGCCATCCTGATAAATGAGGAAAGGAGGCATAATAGATCAACAAAAAATTTGTTTACCTCTAAAGTCTTTGCCTAGGAACCTTCTACAAGACCTTAGCCAGATTTATTTTACACCTGCCTAAGATGAGTGTTTTGATTGAGACACTACTTTCACCTTAACTCAACTAAGCTATAAACTAAAAAGAAAATCAGCTAGCAGCCGGTTATGTGGCAGGTTGTACTAGATTATAAAGGGTGAAATAATTGCAACACTAATATTGCAAATTAAACAAATAAAAAAAACCAATTAAACAAATAAAAAACTTTGTGATTCCAGAAAGGATTTTGAAACTATTTGTTATGTAACTATGATTTTAAATTGAATGTCTAGGACATTTTTGTTTTGCCTCATTTTGAAGACTTTAAAATGAGGCAAAATAAAAAATATCTCAAACTAAGACATTTGTCATTTTGGGACACTCAATTATTATTATTAATAATATTTGAGAATATTAATAATAATAACAGAGATGTATTATTATTAATTACTATTAGTTACAGTACTAACTTAGCAGCTTACAGTGGTCTAAGTACTAAGTACACAGTTAAGTTTATTTAGTCACTTGATTTACTTTTTATACTTTATATTATACTTTTTTTATATTTGTATTTTACAAATACAATAAGATATTTCTGCTTCTGATTTTCAAAAAATTGGTATCGTAAAAATGCTATGCAAAATGATGCAATAATTAGTGATTATCCAAATAAGGAAATTGAAATTAACTGTAGTTTTGGACTAGTTAAATACCAAAACCAAAAAAATACCAAAAAAATTTTGGCAAACATTTTACTGAAACTAATAAAAACTTATATAGTTAAACAAAATTAATTTTATTAGAAAATTTTGTCTTCTTTTTTTTTCCTTAAAACTTTTGCTTTAAGTCAAATTGAATTTTTTATTAGAAAATATTTTCGTAACTTTCGTAACAAATAGAAATAAATTTTCGTAACTTGCACAAATAGAAATGAATTTGAATTTTACTCACTAGTTAAGTTGATAGTGTTTTTAACAAATTCAAAACAAACATTTGGCTTTTCATTATAACACAATTATAATAGATTTTTACACAATTTGAAAAAAATATAAAATTAATTGATTCATGCAATATTTACAACATCCAAAAGTCATTGAATCATTGAATCATTGAATGATATCTTTATATCAAATTCTGTTAAGAAACCAACTTTAGAAAAAAGTTTATTAATCAAATTTTTATATAACAGTTTTTTGTCATCTAAAATTGTGTAAATTAATGAATTGGTAAAACATTGCTATATATTACCACAAAAACCTTGTTAAACGAATAAAAGATTATTTTTTTTCCCAGCTATTTTGCAGATTCTGGCACTAAATTGTATGTCATACAGAATAAAATAAAATTAATTAACATTAATGAATAATAAACAAAAATTAACCTTTATTTGTACATGAGACAAGTGTCGAGTATGTAGAAAATAACACACCAGTTTTATATTCTGTAATCAATCCAAAAGCTCTGAAAATATTAATAATTTTCTATTTTTTTTCAAAATCTTTTCATAAATAGAAAAATGCTGAATTTGTTATTTACTTTTGCCCTTTATCCAATTGCTGACATCCATCAATTATGTTAACAAAGCAGCCAATGTCATTTAAATCTCTACAAAAAAAAAAAAAAAAAATGAAATCGATGAAAAAATAATTAACAAAAAGTCAGAGATGAAAATAAATCAAAGATTACTTAGTTCACTTATCAAATAGAAATATTTTTTAATTTTATATATTTATATTATTATAACTTATTATTATATTTATAATTAAACTATAATTATATAAATTTAAGAGATAATTTAACCTTTGAGCATCATATCTGAGATCAGCAGATATACTAAACCAGACATGTTTTTTTCTACCTCTACAAAAATTATCGAATATAATTCCAGCAATCTAAAATATATTAGAAAATTAATTAAATTCATTTTCTTTTCAAAATTTTCAAATTTAATAAATTATTTTTTTTTTCATTTTTATGATATATACAATTATTATATTAGTCTTCAGAATCTCAGCATTTAGAAAGCCAACACAAAGACTTATCTTTGATTTACTGCGACAAATAACCGCAACCTGAATCTCTAAAAGTATAAATCTATTTCCATGTAAATCCACCCGCTTAAATGCAACTTTCAACTTGAAAAAAATGAGGCAGTTTTAAAAACACATTTAAATATATTTAGAAGATCTTTAAAATGTTTTCACATTAGAACTATTATTGTCCTTTCAGATAAAGTTGATTGTGATTTTCACAAATGTGCATTATTAATTTACAGAGGTTTAGTGAAACAGAGGGTGATGTGTGGAAGGGAGTTACATCTTGAAGGGAGTTACATACTTCAAAGATAACAGTTCTTTTAAAATAGCTATTTATATTTGTAAATAAATATAATTTTTTCATAAATTCTTCAAAAAAATATTTAGTTATTTTTAACATCAACAGAATCATCAAGTTGGAAAGTTTTATAATATGGAAATAATCAGAATTAAATCTGTTTATCTTTATGCAACATAAACTCACCAGCCTCATATGAACAGTAGAAAACATTCAGTTAAAACTATAAGATTTTATAAGGCTATTGCTCAATATTAGAGACATATGTTAGAAAAAATTCACGATAAATAGTGAGATAAAGATAAAGAGATAAAGGTGAGTCAAGTACTCTTAAAAAAAATAATACTAAAAAAAAAGACCATGAAATAATAATAATAGCATGAAATTTTCAACTACTTTAGTTATAGTCAAGGAGTTATATAAGTCAAGGTAAATGTTTTTGTAAACTATAGTAGAGGAAGCTACTTTAATTATGTAACCACAATTAAAGTATCTTACTCGACCTTTGGCCTATTCATTGCCTTGGAAAGACCATTACAGTCATAACATTATGTATAGACCACTATACCGCTATAAAAAAAACAACAGAACATTAAAAAAAAATAGAATCTTGTTTGTAATAACTTGATTACTTCTTAAGAATATTTTTTAAGAGTATCATCATCGATATCGCCATTGTCATCATCATTATCACCACTATCATCATGTGTTTTATCTAATTTTAAATAAAAACAACTGACCTGCCTTCCTTTTCCAACACCTGTTCCATCGCCTAAAAAAAATCCTGCACGATTTCCATCAGGAAGGATAAGATGATGTCGCTGACACTAAAAATATTGATTTCTTTTTAATTTTTAAAAAAATATAGTTATTATATAAAATTACCAACAGTTATTAACAAAACCTACTTTATTGTTATAAATTTGAATTTTATTTCAAACTAAATATAAATATATTGTATTGTAAAACATTTGAAAACTAAAATATCAATAAATAGCTTTACTTTAAATTCATAACTGAAATAAAATTGGAGTTTTTAATAAAATGAGAGAATTTTTAAAATTTCTTATAAAAAGCTATTTTCTTTCTAATAAAACCAAAACCATAAAATATTGCATAATATAAATTACAATATAATTTACATAATAACATCTTCACTTATAGAAGGAACAAACTTTAAAATTAAACATCTGAATTAAATACATTTAAAAAAAATTACTTAAATTGTTTTTACAATTACTTCATTTAATTACAATTAATGATTTAACTTTAACTCCCTAATTATGACTGTTATGGAAAAATAATTTTTATAAATCTTCTTATGTGTTAGTTGTGAAGTTAGGTGAAGGTTAGATTGCCAAGTATTTTTTATTTGCTTTTACAAATTGCTGTAAGTTACAATTCACAGCTAAGGCACATCAATTAAAAGTTTACTTTTCAGAGTTTTTCAGGTTTTTGGAAAAATGATTTTCAGTTTTTAATTAAAGTAAATTATATATTATAAAAAAAAAAAAAATTATGTAAACCCAATATATAAAAAATAAATAGTGCCATGTTTTAAAAGTTATGTTTTGTATTATATATTATATATTTGTATTGTATTATATATTTAAATTTTCTTTATTTAAGATCAAGATATAACTATAAAATCTGGTCTGTATTTTTTAACTATATAACCAAAAATTAGTTGATTGTTTTTAATTTAAAAAAATGTTAATGTTAATAAAAATGCTTTACACAGACAAATGCAAAGAAAACTGAAGAATTTAGACTCTAGTAATATATGTATTAACTATGTAATCAACATTCCTGACTGGTTTTTATTTATGACCAGCAGTATGTGTGTTTAATCTGCTATGATGTTATTATAAATAATATATAAACATCATTCAAATCTATTCATCTTAAAATAAATTTATCTAAGACTGGCTTTTTTTAAAAATACTGAATATGCAGCATAAAAAGCAGAATGTACTGATTTTTTCTGTTCTGCGAACTGAAGTAACAGGCAATCATGTTTTATAAATTTTTTCATAAATTTTAATGTTTTTTTATATTTAGATTTGTGAATTGCACAAATTAATAACTTTAATTTGCAATTTTTGTGTTTATTTTAGTAAAAATATTTAAAGAAATAAAATATAAAACAACTAGAGTTTCCACGATTTTCAATACCGGTATTGAAAACCGGTATTCAACTAAATTTTTCCAATACCGAAACTGTTTCCAAATACCGGTTTTTCACGGTTTTTAAAATTTTAATGATTTGAACTTAATAAAGATACTTAATAAAGGTAATAATAAACTTAATAAAGATAATAAACTTAATAATAATAATAAACTTAATAAAGATACTTAATAAAACTTAATAAAGAAGCAATTTGCACTAATTTAGTTTTTGTGTTTGAATTGTGTGAATGAATGACACAAAATAGAAATTATTTTGTTATGCTGTTTGCAAACCACAAGTTCGTAAAAAAATTTTATTAATTAGTTACTTTTTGGTACTGTAATTATTGCAACACTACGATTCCCCTTGAACAGTTTGTATAATTATTTTTGGAAAAGTATTAACAATTGCAACATTACAATTCCCTTGGACATTATTTTTGCATGAATAAGTTTATTTGAAACAAAAATTTACAGAATTTGGGTTTGATTTTTCATACATAAATGCATCTACTCACGATGGTGCTGCAGTAATGCAAAAATATGAATGAATAATTATTGTAGAGAGTCAACTGTGCCACAATCACGGTATTCATCTAGCTGTAACCGATGTTTTCTACAAAAATTTAAGTACCAACAACGACCGAACATGTTTGAGTGACAAATCAAATGAAGAAGATGCCAATGAATATGATAGTGCAAACAATTCCGAAGAACTTCTTTTTAATCTTACTTCAAAAGAAGATAATGATTCAGATTCTGATTATTATGACAATGAATATCTAAAGAGAGTTGCAGATAATATCGCAAATAATAATCGCAATGAATATCTAAAGAACATTTTTAATGATCTAAAGAACATTTTTAATGATATTATAGATAAAACTGCTCATGGAAGCAGCAACAGAACATTTCGAGATGATATCAAGTCTGTATTGAATAACTCACGTAAACTGATTAAATTTTTTAAATTGTCAAGCTTTCGTAACTCCATATTGCAAAAGCATGTTTTCAAACAAGAAAATAAAAAACTGATGCTAAAATTTGACATTAAAACTTGGTGGAACTCTTTGGTTCCCATGATTAAAAGGTTGGTAATATTGAAACAATACATTCAAAGAAAAGTTTTAGACATTAGAACAAATTGTTTTTATGGAGAAGTTGATTTTAAAGTTTTAGAAGATATTTTAAAAGAGTTAAAACCTATTGAATTGGCTATTAAGGAGCTAAGTAAGGATAATTCAACTATTCCAACCAGTGAAGGTGTTCACATGTTTTTGTTCAAAAAACATTTCTGAACAAACGTCTAACTTAAGGGTAGTGATGCTAGAATCACTCAAAAAGCAATACGATGAGCAAGGCAACAAAGATTTAGTGTCACTAATGAGATATTTGAAAAACCTCAACTCAAATACGTCACAAAATAACGATGGCTTCAAATATTCATCTAAGTCAGCAATTATTTAATATGCAAAAAATATAGTTAAACAAAATTTTATCAAAGTATTGAATAGTGTCAATGTCGAATCATCGGATGAAGAAGTTGCTGAAGAAGCCAATAATAACCTTGAGACACAGTTACAACAATTCCTAACAAAGATGGTTTCTTTCCAACTCAAGATTAGTTGTTCTGATCCATTTTCAGAGATATTAAGGGAGTTTAAGCGGTTTGAAGCAAGTGGAGTTCGATCATCAAAAAATTGATGTTGCTCTAAAAACAATTCAGCCAACGCCAACATCCAGCGAAAGAACTTTTTCGGTTGCTGGTAACTTTTCAACTTAGCTTCAAAGATGAATGAATTTTGATATATTAAATGCATTAATATTTATAAAATACTATTTTCTGGAACGTTAAATTATTGAGTTATTACTGCTTGATAAAAAATTTTCGATATTTTAAATAATGCATTTAATTTTTAGATATTAAAAAGTAAAATAAAATAAAATAGAAAAAAAAAATGCACAAATTTTCTTTTTCTATTTTATTTCTTCTTTTCATAAAGTTTTCTAAGGATTAGGCTAAATTCTAAAAATGTTATTTATAAACACGGCGCAATACCGGTTTATACTGGTATTAAACTATTTTGAATACCAAAAAAGCGATATAATTTTCCAGTATTTTAGAAACTCTAGAAACAACTTAGAAAAAAATTTTTAAAAAATAAATTAATTTAAGTAATGTACCACTATCATGTATACAATTAACATAACCACGAATAACATAAACACGTGTACATTAAGATAATTACAAAAAACATATCAAATGTGTGACATGCTTTTATAAATACATCTAAAGTAATTATACTTGCCATTTGCTTTTTTGTATAACAAAAAATTATTATTTAATTATTAAGTTAGTCATTTTTTTAAGTAATATTTGTGGTATTAATTTTATTCTTGTTTTTTTTTTTTTAATCTTTTGTAACTATCAAGTAACTATTATCATTATCTTATCGTTATATCTTTTATCACATATCTGTTATTTTTTGTTAATCTCTTAAAAGATCTGTTTCCAACTTTTTAGATTTTAAGAAGAATGTTTAAAATTTTTCAAAAACATAACACTTTTAGTACTTTAAAATCAATGCACATAAAATATATTATATATATAATATATAAAATCCATCAGCCATATATAAAATATATAATATTCATATATATGAATATTAAATATCTAATATTCATATATAACTCATATATTCAATTACAGTTGGTAAAAGTAACAAACATGCATAATCAAAAAAATTTCTTTAGAAAAAAACATTGTGACTTAGAAGCTGTTATCAATACCAAAATTTCTGCAAAAAAAAAGTATTGTAGGCAAAAAGAATGTTAATTAGAAGTTTGTGAAGTGTTATTGAATTTGAATAGGGCGGGGGAATGCAAACAAACAAATTAAAAAAAAATTCAAATATTATATAATAAATGAAATCGCTGTTGCTATAAATAAATAAAATTATATAATACATCGTTGTTTACAAAGTTACAATGTTGCTTAGCAACATTGTTACTACAAATATTCATAAGAAAAACAAAATCTTTAACTTTGCCCTTTTAGACAAAAAGAAATCATAAAAAAAATTCTCTTCAGAGTAAAACTTTTTCAAAAACATATCCAAAAAAAAAGTATCCAAAGCAGCTAGAATGAACCAAGTATCCAAGTAGCCAGTATCCAAAGCAGCTAGAATGAACCAAGTATCCAAGTAGCCAGTATCCAAAGCAGCTAGAATGAACCAAGTATCCAAGTAGCCAGTATCCAAAGCAGCTAGAATGAACCAAGTATCCAAGTAGCCAGTATCCAAAGCAGCTAGAATGAACCAAGTACCCAAGTAGCCAGTATCCAAAGCAGCTAGAATGAACTTTTTTTTATAAAATGAGTTCAAACAGCATAACCTAAGTGGATGATACTAATACAACCTTCAATATATTTTAAATATAATATACATTTCTCTGCCATGGACTTAAAGAAAAAAAAAATTTACAAAGTTAATAATACATTCTGTGTAAACAGAATTAAATTGTAAATGATAAAACAATTCTGTATAAACAGAAATATTATTTTATAATATTTATTTCTGTTTGAATTTAGACTGTTAAATTTTCAGACAGTAATACGTCCAAAGATAATGAGAAATAGATTTCAAAGATTGAGCAATAGATTTTAAAGATATCAACCGAATTTTAAAAACTGTAATGTTTTTAAAAACTATAATGTACAAAACAAAAAATTAAAGAGCTTTTAAAGTTCATTTTTTAATGAAATCTAAAAAAAATTATTTTAATATAAAAATAATCGATATTTTTTATTAATACTTGTAAATATTAATCTTGTAAATAAAATAACAATTGGTATTTAATGATATTGTAAATAAATATAAACTTTTACCAATTTATAAATCTCAACATATTTTATATCGACTAAAATTGTGGAGCTTATAAGTTTTAGTGTTGTTCTGTAGTAAAGAGCTCTGAACTTTTATTTAAATCACAACCTAATATTTATATTATATAAACAATTATATAAAAATAAATTCAAAGATTAATAAACCAGTAATATTAATCTTATCCAACTCATTTTATGACATTGTAGATTAATTCATACGGTTCACCATATGACTATTTATCAATGATGCATTATTCTTGGAACGCATTTGCTGTGAATACAAATTCTCCTTCTATCATCACTCTCAACAAAGAATACCAATATCATATTGGACAGGACGAAGGCTTTTCTAGATCAGACGTATTTCAATTACACAAAATGTATAGATGCAGTGAGGATTTTTTTTTTATTTTTATTTTTTATTAGTATTTGTTTGAAACAAAATACAAGAAGCATAGATGTTATTGAAAGACAAAAATTAATTATGCTGCTTTTTTTTCAATTAAAATAATTAAAGAAATAATTGATAGTAATATGTATAAACAAGATTAAACGACATATTGCAGAAACGTTTACACAAATGATACAGAGGCAACTTCTTTAAAACACAACTTTACAAAAGCTCATTATATACATTCTCTCAATAATAAATCAAATTTTTTAAATTTTTAGAACTGTTTCAAAACTGTTGCAACTATTAAAGAAAGGATGTTCCGACCTCTGTTATGGCACTAGATTAACTCTTTATATTAGATCTTATAAATGTTTAACAATTAAACACACACTTACGGAAAATAGTATTCCTTCAATTTGAAGATCACTAAGTTTTCCTGAAAATATTTGAAATATATCTATATATTTTTATTATTATTATTGTTTTATATATATATATATATAAATATATATATATATATATATATATATATATATATATATATATATATATATATATATAAATATATATAAATATATATATATATATATATATATATATATATATATATATATATATATATATATATATATATATATATATATATATATATATATATATATATATATATATATATATATATATATATATATATATATATATATATATATAGTCTTGTATTGTAGTCAGAAAGTTTTTTCCATAAACTGTAGTTTTAAAGAGCACGTTATTAAACCGAACCAGAAAAAGTTTAAAAACTTCAATTTTTTTTCTTCTTAAATGATAGAGTGACTGCCTAAACTAAACCCTCAGTCAATGTAGCTGCACTCCCTTGCAAGTCAGGCTATTTGTCAGTCGATGTAACAGCACTCACTTGCGAGTCAGACTATTTGTCAAGCGATGTAGCAGCACTACCTTGTAATTCAGGCAATAAGATAGTCAATATAGCAAAACTCTGTTGCGAGTCAGGCTATAAGATAGTCAATGTAGCAACTCTCCCTTGTAGCAGTAGGCTATAAGATAGTCTATGTAGCAACACTCCATGCATGTTTTAAAAATATTCTTTAATAAAATAACAACAAAAACATCATTAATTAAAAAAAACTTTCTAGTCATTATTATTGCGGGTTTTTTAAAAAACAATAAAATTTAATGTACTTCCGCATAAATTTAATTGCTTTGACATTTCGGCAACAATAAAATACAGCTTAAGAGCTGAGGTAATAAAAATTGTCGAAAGAGACTTTTTTTACCATAAAAGTCTATTTTGACTACAATATAAGGATATTTATATATATATATATATATATATATATATATATATATATATATATATATATATATATATATATATATATATCAACCATGGGAATTAGGGTTAGCATTCAGCAATGCCGACCTAAAAGTAACTGCTGACCTAAAAATACCTAACTGCTGACCTAAAAGTATTTGAGGTTGGCAAAATAATTGCCGATCTCTTTTCTATGTTTTATGGTTAAATATTTGTTTTACATTTTTTCTGTCAACCTAATGTCCCCCTCATACAGATTAAGGTAAGCAAGTTATTGCTCCGAGAGCTGATATATATATACATATATATATATATATATATATATATATATATATATATATATATATATATATATATATATATATATATATATATATATATTATATATATATATGTATATATATGTATATATATATATATATATATATATATATATATTTTATTTATTTACATATAGAAAAAACAACTTTTCATGTGACTATAAGTTTCATGCCTATACGGCAATCATCAGCCATGTACTATATCAAAAACAAACAAAAAACCGACAATAAAATTACAAAATACAGTGGAGCAACAACTGACGTCTCTATAGAGACAAAACAAGAAAACGCCAAAGAAAATTGTATATAAATCAGCTAATCGCCAGTTAGTTGTTTACTTTCTTTATTATTGAGCACTCTTAACCGAAATAGAGTTTTGTATTATTATTGTAATACACATTAAAGATCAATATATATATATATATATATATATATATATATATATATATATATATATATATATATATATATATATATATATATATATATATATATATATATATATATATATATATATATATATATATATATATGTATATCTATATATATATATATATATATATATATATATATATACATATATATATATATATATATATATATATATATATATATATATATATATATATATATATATATATATATATATATATATACATACAGGATTATATTAAATTAGCATATTTAATAATAGGTACATTTTTGACCAAGTCTGAGGTTTGTTTTGTGACTGCATAACCAATTATACATCCTAAAGTATTTTTTTTTTAATCAAAATTCATGTTATATTTTGTATATATATTTGTATATATAAACATCATTATGAACAACATGATCATCAACATCATCATCATCATCATCATCATCATCATCATCATCATCATCATAATTGTCATAATTCAGGCTTTAGTTTCCTCTTTTTTTCTCAACAACTAGAGAGAATCTAGAGCATTTTCTTTCTTAAACTAAACCTCATTCATACAATGTATAAGGCACTCTCATCAAGTTTTCTTACTTCTACCACTACCATTTTCTCCTGAAGCTTCTACCTCTCTATATGCTGATACCTAAATCACTTAAATCTTCTCTAACAAATGTTGTCCGATAAGAGCTTTTTTCTAATCTGTCTAAGACTATGCCTCCTTTTCTTGTCATGTTAGAGTCATGCCACACATTCATCTGATCATCGTCTATTTTGGCAAAGACTACACCATATAAATACTAAAGTTTATGTAAATATGAAAGGATATTGTTTGCCAGCATCTAAATAAATAGCAAAAATATATGTTTATACCCATAATATGAATGCATAAAGCACATCTTGGAAGCTTTTATTCCTTCAGGAATAAAAGATTGGAAGCCTCTATTTAATATTAAGTTAAACCTCTTTATACTCTGCTTTTTTTGCCATCTTGTTTCATCAACAGTTTTTTTTTCATCTTTTTTAAAAGAGCATTACTCTTATAAACAAATCTCATTGTGGCAAATTTATCCCAGCCTGCGATTAGCTACAGCACTCTTGTGCAGAACTTTCGTTACAAAAATGTCCTTACAGAAAGCGCAAAAATTTATATATATATATATATATATTTATATATATATATATATATATAATATATATATATATATATATATATATATATATTTCATCTACAATATGTTTCAACTTTTGTAGGTTCATCAGGAAAAATGTCTAAATATCAAAAAAATCAAATTATAGAAAAATATTTCACAGGATGTTGGAAATGTTTATAATTAATTTTATAAAAACTGTATTTTTAATGCAACCAGGAAGTTACATTAACTACATTATTTTTCAAAAATATTGTGAAAATGAATCCTTTAGAATTAAGATAATTTTAATTTGGTCATTTGTTTTTATAACTTTTTAAGGTACTTATTTTCATATCTGCATTTAGAAATTAATTCAGATTTTTCGGGTAAGTTAAATTCTTTCTGGAAAACATTGCATGCAGTTTTTAGAATAATCCAGTTTAATTTACAATTAATATTTTTATCTTTTAATTGTCAAATATATTTTGATGCATTTTTTGAGTTTTTTTTTATGTTAAAAAATCTATTTGTGGTTGGTGTATTGATTTTTCAATTCGCCTTTGACTAAACCAATATATCGTTTTTCAGGGTTATTTTGTGAGGAAATAATGCATTTGTAAATAATATTTTATATATAATTTGTGGCCTTTTACAAATCTTTCTATATTTATTATACAGCAATAACATATTTTAATTTTGTTAAAAATTGTTATTTATTTCATTAGAGGGAGGAAATTAGAATTTAGAAGATATTAAACATTTTCATTTTTGTTAGAAAATGAACAACTCACTCAACCATCGTCACTAATTTAATGTGATAGTGGAAAAAACATCACACAAAAACAATAAAAAATATTACCCAAAAAAAAGTTAAAATTAAAAAAAAAAGGTTGAGTAAAGAATGTGAGATTAACATACAATTGATCATATTTATTTCCATAATATTTATTAATTCTATCGTACACAATATACCATTGAGAATCACTTCCTCCGGAAATGTTGATAGTAAATTGTACCACACCTTTGGCAATCTTTGTGCCTGAAATAAACAAATTAATTAAAATAAACACTGAATGAAATTATCAAAATGATAAAAACAAAGATAATCTGATGAACAAAACATAGATAATTCGGATGAATAAATTATAATAAATTAAATAAATTATCCAAATACTAAAAGGATTCTTATTTAAAACATTAAATTATACAAAAAACTATAAATATTAATTATATATATATATATATATACATATATATATATATATATATATATATATATATATATATATATATATATATATATATATATATATATATATATATATATATATATATATATATATATATATATATATATATATATATATATATATATATATACAGGGCTTGAATTAAGCGTATCGCAATTGCGAATCGCGATTGCTTTTTATATTTTCGCGATTAGTTTTTTCTTAAAACATATATTTTTGCGATTAGTTTACTTTTTTAGTTGTTTATTTACTTTTTTTCTAATTTAGCTTTTTCTTTTGGCAATTCTTAAAAAGTAATGTTTTCATAGTAAAGTACATCACGCAAAGTTTATTTTTTGAATAGAAGCATGATCATTTGCTCTTTCGCGCGGAGATTTTTTTTCAAGATAAAGCTCTTTTTAATTTAAATTACTTTAAATCTCTGCTTAGTAGCAAATTAAAAAGACAAAAGTTAAACAGAATTTTATCTTCGTTCTATTATTTTTAACAAAACAGCATTTTTGTTTTTTTTAAAAAAAAACGTTGCTCCAAATTAACTTATTAATAATAAATTAAATTATTATTTTATAAACAATTTTATATAACTATTTTTACTACTTTAAGTATAATAAAATATATATAAATTTGTTTTTATTAAACAAAAATTTCTATTAGTAAAATTGTACTAATAGAAACCAGCAACTTTTTTGCTTTCACGGTTTTTGCTTTTAACGACCTTGAAACTATTGAAGTTATATTTAGTTAACTTTACTGAATGGATAGAGTATATCACAGTAAACTTACTTATAACCTAAATTAAAACAACCAGTTAAGTTAAGATAGTACTTAAGATAGTTACTCAAGTATTAATTTAACAATTATATTAATTTATTTAATATACTCGCAAAAGTTAGCAATAGACATGTTTCAATTTAGATATTACATGTTAAAACATAATATAAGCTTTTAACTAATAATTATTTTAACAAAAATTGTCAAATAGAATATGAAAAACGCGACACCATTTTTTTATATTTTCATTTTATTTATAGCGACATCTAGACTAAACATTTTCTATAAATACGCAAGTTGTTTTCAGGAATTTTATTTAAAAAGAAATCTATTTGAACAAGAGAGCTTTAGCCTTAAAATTCACTTATAATTTTGTGATTGAAATTTGAAATTGAAAAAAAATTTAAAAATTTAAAAAAAGTTTGATGAAACAAGGAGATGAAGATGAAAGTTTTTTTTTCGTAAACCGTAAATTTTGTTAACGTTTTGAATTATATATTTTTTCTTGATAATAGTTTAAAAAATAGAAACATTCTATTGCAAACATCAAAGCTGTGATTGCAAATTGCAAGTTAAAATAAAAATTATAAAAATTTTAAATTAAATTAAATTTAATAAATTATTTTAATTCTGTTCCAAAAAAATTTTTTCTAAAAAAATAATTAAACAAAATTTGTTTCATTTTTTTTTGGAAAACAATTAGAATAAAAAAAATTAAATGAAAACATCAGTTTAAAATTTTTGAATGATAAACTTAATTTTACTTAAATTTTTAATAGTACGCTCAATCAGGAAATGATAATTTATAAAAGACGTGGTATCTGCTTTGATCTTACTTGTTTATTCTAGAATACAAACTCGTATAGGTCTATAGGCGCAAATATAAAGTTTTTTTTTAGTAAATTAACTAGCTCAATTTTATTTATTTGCTTCCTTTTATTATAAACGCATTTTATTTTATAAACTGTATAAATAAAAACGAAACAGCGTCACGAGTTTGTTTTACATTATTCCAAGCTCTTTATATTTTTAAAACAACTTTGCAATTTGTTTTAATGTTGTTTTATAGCTTTTAACAATTAAATACTTTTTTAAATTAACACGTGTTTTAATGTCAGCATGAACGTATTAAACAGTTTTCTTTGACTAATTAAAGTGGTTTGATATTGCAATGTCACTTTTTCTCTACTTTTTTAATGTTGCTTTTTCTCTTACTTTTTTACTTTTACTTTTTTAAGTCTCATGTTAAGTAAAAATATACTTAAAGAAATACCTTGATAGTATTAAAAATGTTATTGCTATATTTTATTCAAAAGCGAATCAATTTGTATTAGAATATGGTTTGAAAAACTGTGTTAAAATTGTAAAATCTTTTTTTATTTTTAATTTTTCAACTTATACAACATGTTTTAACGTCAGCATGAACATATTAAATAGTTTTCTTTGACTAATTAAAGTGGTTTAGATATTGTAATGTTGCTTTTTCTCTTACTTTTTTACTTTTACTTTTTTAAGTATCATGTTAAGTAAAAATATACTTAAAGAAATATCTTAATAGTATCAAAGACGTTATTGCTTATTAACTGCAATTTAAACTTTAAGTTATAACTTAAGTTTTAAATAATAACAGTAACTTACACTATTTTAAACTCTGCCAAGCAAGAAAATTAAAAGATTATATTTAAATATAAGAGATAATATGTTAAAAATAGAACAATTACGTATAAAACTTACAATTATATTTTAACGCAACTTCCCTTCCCCCCCCCCATTTCCGCAAAGTGGCGCAAGGTATGGGGAGGGGGTAAAATTTTTTTTTTTTTGCGATTAGATTTTTTTGTGTTAATTCGAGCCCTGATATATATATATATATATATATATATATATATATATATATATATATATATATATATATATATATATATATATATATATATAAATAAATAAATAAATAAATAAATAAATAAATAAATAAATAAATATATATATATATATTTTAAAATAAAACTTCTTTTTATGGATTGATTTCAAAAAGTATATTATTTTTACGATATTTCGAGGGAATATGGATACCCTCGTTATCAAGTATATAAAAACTGTTTAAATTAACAAAACAATGTTCTTTGTAAGAGCTTCTTTTTAAGAGAGTTGTTTAAGTGAGTTTTTTGTGACGTAAGAATTTAAACATGGGTTTCCAAAATGACGTCGTCACATAATCGCCATCATCTAAATTAAGACCATTGTCGCGAAAGGTACTTTCGTTGAGTTGTATTTCCAAGGCATCCCTAACTTTCCTATTATAACTATTTGTTTCGATTTTTAACGTATTGCGACCATTCCAGTTGAATTCTCCTTGGTAAATTTTGGAATGTTCAGCTACAGCTGCATTTTCCCCTTTACCTTGTTGTGCACTTGTTTGATGCTGGCATATCCGAGATGATATCTTTAGTCCAGTTTCACCAACATAACATTTGCCACAAGAGCACTTTAATTTGTAAACACTGGGAAAGGAATTAACTGATAGTGTAGGTTTAATTTTGGAACTTAGTAGACTTTGGAGATTTTTTGGAGACTTAAACACTGGTGCGTATCCTGCTTTTTAAAAGCTCTTCTTAACTTATGACTGATTCCAGGGATCCAGGGTAAAGACACAATTCTTTTTGAAGACTTTAGGAAATGTTGATTTTTGAGAGATCTTTTGTTGTTGTTGTTGTTGTTAAGACTTTCTTTCGTAAACTTAACTAGTTTTTCCAGACTTTTTCTCTCATAGTCATTTTCTACAAATACATCGATAAGAAATGACAACTCATTATCAATTTTATTTCATGTGCATAAACGTAATGCTCTATGGACGAAACCAATAAAGACACCATTGATAATTTTAGGGTCATGGCATGAGTTCGGTTTAATTTGAACGTTTGTGATTGCATTTTTGCGATGTATTTTAAAACTATATGTACCGGTTTTATTGTTGGTAACTGAAACATCAAAATAGTTTAAGGTATTGGTTAAGTCAGCAGATTCCATTGTGTATTGAATATTTTTGTGTTGTTTGTTAAGTAGATCTAAAAACTTTTGGGCATCTTCTTCTACCTGGAACCTTGAATGTATATCATCGATATCTTTTAAATGATTTCACATGGATGTTATTGTTAAGCGCCAATGAAAGAGTGTTACTTTCATGATATTGTAAAAAACACATATATTCCCTCGAAATATCGTAAAAATAATATTCCCTCGAAATATCGTAAAAATAATATAATATTATTATATTATGAAATGAGAGGCTTTTTTGTTTCCATTACTGATTTTTTTTTATTTATGATCATCCCTGATTCCTCCAATTTATTTAAGATATTCATCAAATTACATTTTAGTTCTTCAGCATTTTTACCACCAACACATATATCATCTTGAAATATAATCATATTAGTAATAATGTTCCCAACAATAGATTCTATTGCTCTTTGAAATATAGCACTCACAGTTTTTATTCCAAAAGGCAAGCATGTCCATCTTAACAATCCGATAGGTGTGTTAATTATTGTTATTTCTTGTGCATTTCTCATTTCCATATTCCCTCGAAATATCGTAAAAATAATATGATTTTTGCAAATAGAAATCAATCCATAAAAAGAAGTTTTATTTTAAAATATTTATACAAATAAAATCTATTAAAGATGTCAACATTTAAAATTTACATTGAAGCCAAATATGGTAATGACGTTTACAAAGAAACCAACATGTTGAAAAACCTTAAGAAAACAATTGCGAAATCAAAAAATCAGTGGGTTTTTTTACAACGGTGTATAAAACATCATATACCTCCGAAATCATTACGACTAAAATGTCCAGTAAACTCACCTTATGCAAAACAACTAAACAAAAAGTATAAGTACAATTTATTATACCATATAAAGAATGACGCTAAAAAACGTTTTTTCCAAAGTACATACAAAGCAATGTTTTACGAGGAAAGAATACAAGCAACTGTTGACAACTCTGACGATTTCAAAAC